ATACTCTAATTAACGCATAGATTGCAGCACCATAAAGCTGCCTATCACAAAAAAATCTAGTGTTTCCCATCTCTTACGATAGGCGAAACAACCAGATAAACTAATTAAACCACATTCCACGGTTCATTTGATAAAACACAACTCAAACACAGGCTAACTCTAATGTCCATTACCGAACGGAAAACCTATCTCCAAACTCCATTTAAGTTCTTTTTACGGTTTTGAAACCATGCTAGTTGTAAATGGTTAAAAAACCTTATAGTTTTGTATTTATGTTTTTTTTAACCATACTATTTGTAAATGGTTTCGAAACCATAAAAATAAAAATGTTCCTTTGAGTAAACTTTATGGTCAGACAGCAGTCGGTCGTAATTTTAGAAATTTTAGCAGCGTATTGCGAAATGTTATGCAGATTAAAATTATATTTATAAATATAAAATTATGCTTAATACATGTAATTTATAAAACAGCATACATCACTTTGGAATGTAAATACAGGAACAATAATTAATTTCCACCTGACCCTAAAAGATTTTCTTATAGTAATAAAGGAAAAAAGTGTAAGGATCGCATAAAATTGGGAGCAAGAAAACTTCCTTTCCCATCGGAAATAAGATTAATCAAGTGTAAGGTTATAATGAAAAACGCGTTCATTTTTCAAAACTTTATGGCGGTTTGGCACAGGACAAATTGCGAATTTACGTTTCAGTTACATAAAAGTAGCTTATGTGGAACATAACTATCATACTAATGATATCAATCGGAAGCAGTGCAGAGATAAAAAAGTAATATTGGGGAAACATTACCGAAACGTGAAAATATGAAAAGTGGTCGTTAAAGAACAATTTAAGATCCATTCTGAAATCTTTAAGAATGTTGTTATCTTCTTATAATCGTCAAGTTCATTTGTAGAGATGTTAACACCAGAAGTATTAATTTTTTGAATCAAAGAAAGGTTAATGTTTGATGTTAATGATGTTGTAATCCTAAATGATTAATTTATATCGTTTAGAAAATTTTAGAAATGTTATTATTCCCAAAGCCAAAAATTTAGCAATAAATTATAACTGATTAATATAAGTGTTTTAGAAGTAAATCAATTTTGGAAGCCGACTTGTTTCTGTTTTTGCGTAATATATTTTGCTTTGAATTTATTTTATACTGAAATTTTTTTAAATATTCTCTTAAGTAGGTCGTAAGGCAAATTCGATATTTCTGTGGCTCAATGCAAGAATAACTAGCATAAAAATTTCACATTTTGAGGAACTTTTGTTTTTTGAAAAAATGCTAGCATCAAAAGATATTTTTCTGAACTTTCATATTTTTGCAAGTAATTTCTACTGTAAATACTACTAATTATGCTATCTAATTTTTCTACAGCACATAGAGTCATTACCACACTGTGAAAAAAATGTCAAAACTACCAGAATATCGTAAAAATTACCGTGTTCCTCGTTCTATGGGAACACCAAAAGTTCCAGTAAAGTAAAGGTAATTTTTATCGAATCGTTTTGACAATGATTTTGGAAAAATTAACAATAAAATGTGGTGTTAAAATTTCATTAAATTGTGGTAAAATTTGGTAATTTTAACTCGATACCTTAGAGAATGGTATAAAAACCATTTATGCAGTTAAATTTATTTTTCAGTTTTGTATTCTTTATCAAATGTGTGATATTAAGAACTATAATTTTGAAAACCAGAATTTTCGGTAAACCGTTACCATATGAACAGAAAAATTACCAAATGAATGGTTTAAACGTCGTATATTTTGGTTTTATTAACCAGAGTTACAGTGTTTTTTTGTTTACCAGAAATGTCATTACTATACAATACGGAAATTATATGAAAATTTCTCGCTTCGTGCATTATTGGCATTGATTGTTTGTTATTGAAAAAGTCGTACAGAAATCTTGACATTGATTGTTTGAAAATCATTACTAAAACATAATTTCTTCAGTTTTTGAAGTTTTAGAAGTGGCAAATACTCGCAGAAAAATCTGTTCAGCATAAAGTCGGTAAAATTTAAAACCATAATATAGTGCGATTCGCTGCAATCTAAAAATACCATTCAAGTTGAACCATATTATTGCGTAATCGAGTTTAATAATGTGCTTCAATCTTACCCCAAATTGAGATTAAAGCAAATCGATTGAAATTTGGGTTCAACACTCTGAAATATTTTCTGATATAGTAGTAAAACTCTATGCAAATTCATTGCTAATTAACTGTTAAGCGAAACAATGAAATACAATAATCCGGATTTTAATTTAACGTTAAATATTAGAATTTATAAGTTAATTTAATTAATTATGTGACATAATATTATAATCCATTTGGCACTGGTCAGCAGTAAAATATACGAAACAGCAAAATAAAGAAATATTTATGCATGGAAAAAAATGTCTCTATACAATCCATACTATTTTAAAGAAAGTGATACTTATCACAAAACTATACGTTATATAAAAATGTATTTGCTATAACTCAATAGGGAAAAAAAGCGACTTTAAACGTATTTCTAAATTTAACTAACAATCTGCTGTGATTCAAAATTAAATAACATTCATCTATCTTTTGCATTCTAAAGAAACGGAACAGACCTGATTGCACGTTATTTTAAGGGAAGAATCATTGACCCAAAAAAATAGTATCATTTGTCATAATTACATATTATTTTGATGTTTTTATTAAAGATAATTGTATAATAAGCTCAAACACGTGTTTCAAAATTAATAAGATATTGAAATTTCTACGGATGGATGAACGGTACAATAATGAAATTCCTCTAATAAAACATCTTTAAATATGGAAAAATTTAAAAGTAATTCTCTTATTAAAATATCTTGTAAGTATTATTAATTCTCAAAATTTGGTTATTTTTCTTCAAATGAAAGTTATTCTTATCTATATGAAGGCTGCTGTTAGAAAGAAAAAAAAATTAAAGATAATAATAGATATATTTTTCTACCAACTTTCGTGTTATTCTAGCAATTCATGTCTATTTTTAAATTGAACTCTCCATATTTTTATATATTAAAGTAATAGATTAGAATTATTCGTTTTTGTTCATAAATGTATACCAAGTACATGACTTTCAAAAAACTTTTTAAAATAAGAAATTAGTGACGTTATTACAGATTGTTAAAAGAAGATTTTTAAAACATTTTTAACTGTGAATATTTTTGTTGGGTTTGTATAGTTAATATTTAGTTATACTGTTAACTATCAGTCAATCAAACCTTCTTCTCTCTTAAAAAATCGTTTAAATGTTAAATATAATGTTTTTTGGATCAAATTAAGATGAAAATTGTTTCAACCTTAAAAGGATGTTAATCTAACCCATATATCAGTCAAAAATAAGCCATAGTATCAAGTAATAAACTTCAATCTGGCAAGATATTATGGTTGTATCAAAGTTACACAGTACTGTGGTTTGAGTACTCTAGAACTTTTGGCACTGTATTAGTCTTTCGAGTGAAATTTAGGTAATAAAAATTCTCAAAATGTATACGTTAAAATTTCCCCAAAACCCCGTGACAAATTTAGCATGCATGTTAAAGTTTCGCATAATAGAACTTTTTCTAAATTTTTTATATTCATTATAATCACACTTTAACATAAGCTCTTATAAATATTCGTGCAGCCAATAATATTGATTATTTAGTAATGCAGCCAATAATTACATAGATAGAAAATCTTAAGTGGGTTTATGAAATCCTTGATTCTACAAGAAAAGTTATAAAGTCAAGAAAGAAAAAAAGGGAGGTACGATAATTTTTCACCTTTTAGAGGATTATCCGTGATTGCATGCGTAATTGAGACTTATTTTTAATTTTAATAAAAATACCGAACTCCAATGCCATTTTCGGTAAAAAGCAAACAAGCAAAATTCTGGTTAATAAAACAAAAATGTACCACATTTAAGCCATTCATTTGGTAATTTTTCTGTTCATATGGTAACAGTTGACTGGCTTTCAAAATTACAGTTACCACATATTTAGTAAAAAAATGCGAAACTTAAAAGTAAATTTGACCGAATAAATGGTTTTTATGCCATGCTTCAAAGCATCATGGCAAAATCACCAAATTTTACCACATTTACCTAATTTTATCGCATATTAAAAAACCATATTTTATTGTTAATTTTACTAAAATCATTACCAAAGTGCTTCGGTGAAAACCACTTAGTTTTTTGAAGTTTCCATAGAGCCAGAAATGCGATAAATTTTACCATATTCAGATGGTTTTGACCATACTTTTTTTTCCGTGTATATGTTGAAGCTTTTTGCTACATCCTGCTTCAATTATTCTTTTATCTTACATGATTGTTTAGTTATGCATTCATTCATTTAAAAGATTGAGTTGGCCTCAAGCGTATTTACGTCTTCCTAGATTATGCTAGAAAAATAATAAGTTTTTTTTAAAAAAAAAGCAATCGAAGTTTGAAAGATAATTTTCCAAGATCGAAATCATGCTGTAAATTTATTCCAAACTGTTTCAATAATTGAATTATTTAAAATAAATAAGACATATTTTAATTTAATATACCAAGCACGGGTGACACTTTTTATTTAACTGTAGAGAAAAATATTGTGTTGGTAGCATTCTGTATTTGCAGTTTTTACACTACATCCTGTATAATTAAATTACCATATAACTAATCGAAAAATGGAGATTTTCCTCAATTTGTGATAGTATATTCTTTAAAAATCCTTATTAACGCGTTAAGTGTTTAGATATGTGTCTCTTAATTAAATAAAATATGACAACATTAAACGGATTTATATCTTCTTTGATTATACAAGAAAAATTATGAAGTTATTAAAGGAAGAATGGTAAACACAAAGATTGCAACTTCATCAACAGCTGTGTTTTTGCAAATGCACTTCTTCCGATATCGGCGACTCGTGCGGCGAATCCATTTCAATTTCATGACATTTTCAAAACAGCTGATTCTATCAATTTCGACTGCACGGGTAAACAACGAATCACGCAAATTTTTTTGCTTGCATTCCTTTACTTCTAACAGTTATTTACATTGGTGAAAGCGAATATGTTCATTGTATTCCATCAACATGTAATTGCGGTTATCGGGTTAGAACGTTTGACTTTCCTGCACAAAAAGGAATCGCGATTTATGATATATCGTTAAAACTTCGATGCACACCATTTAATAAAATGTAAGTTAAATGAGAAAAAAATATTTATATTTTTAAAAATGTGTCAAATTTCATTTGTTTCGAGGAAATTCTTTATGGATTAATGACTTTTTTCCTTCATATAAATCATTTGAATTTCATATGCGTCATAAAATACTATGTTTGGGGAGTTATGCATGACCAACAAAACGGAAACTTTGATAACTTTCATTATTTTGTTATGTTTTAGAAATAAGTTTATTTATTGTATACTAAACATACTTAATTATATAAATTCAATTAGTAATTATATGCATGAGTATACCTTCTGTAATATGCATACCGTTCATAAAAATATCGTTTTAGCATACAATAGCTTTATTAAACTTTAAAAAATGTTATATTTTTCCAAAATGATGTATTAAAAATAATTTTATACTTTTTTAATTCCATTTTATGATTACTATCAAGAATTATTTTATTAAATTTTAGATATTAAGTTTTGTATGTTTTGATAGAATATATGTTTACTTTGTTTGAATAAAGATTCATAATTTAAATATTCTCAAAAACAGAAACATTTTTCACCTTATAGATGGGAGATATTTCAGTTCTGAATATAATAAAAGGGTGGCTCAAAAATTTGCAATTGCACAAATACTTAAGTTCACACGGGAATCACATTTTATAATTATTTAGATGATACTAATAATTTAAAAGACTTGTAAATAAAAACATAATTACTGATTGTAAAACTTTATTATTTAAAGTATTATTACCTTTCAAAATAATGTAATCATAATACTGTAATGTAATCTAGTTACCTTTACGTTGTGTTGATAAACTTTTTAAATTAGCAATTTAAAGGTTCAGAATCCATTTATCTTTTAATAATATGAAATAAGAATTATTGGCATAAAATATACTGCTATGGGTATTATAAAATAAGGAAAAAGTAAATTTGTTTAGAAGAAATTTGCGAGACATTAAATTTTTCTCTATTTATTTTCTAAAATGAAAAACTTGTTTAAAACTGAATGGTGGATGGTATTTTCAATCAAGTTATACATGTAAAACATTTCATAATTCAAAGTGTTGTAAGAGTTAGAACAAAATATTTTTAACATTTCATTTGACATCATTATTTGAGCCCACGATTTTTAAGAAAGTTTTAATACTATCGCACTGTAAGTTTATTAATAGGGGGAAGGGAAATAATTGAATGATATCGTTGAATATAATTATTTGAGCCTACGTTATTTAAGTATCACCTATTATTATCGCAATGTAGGTCTAAGAATAAGGAAAAGGAATTAAGTGAATGAAATAATTGAATATCATAATTTGAACCTTTACGTTATGTAAATATGTTCTTTTATTTTGTTTTATAACCGTCGTTGAACAGCTGACCCAATTTTTTGGGTTTACAATTACTAATGTTCAACTTCGTAACCTCGTAATTTTGAACCCAATCCAGAAGACAAGGGGATTTTTATATTAAGAATTGGAAGAAATTGGCCTTCGAGGAGGAGTTTTCTCATGAAACTAACCCGCATTTGAGTTACATGGAGAGGAAAACCACGAAAACCTTCCACGGTTAGCCTAACGGCAAAGGAACTCTACCCCATGATCCATCTATCACTGAGGATATTTTACATCAGCACTGTGGTCGGTGCAAGCCGGATGCGGAATTCGTATCGACCAGCCATCCCTGGGATTCGAACCCGGTTCACCCAAATGGAAGATGAGCGTTCTATCCCCTGAGCCTCTATGCCCTCTTACTGTCATAAAATAAATCTATTAATAGGAGAAAAGGAATTTAGTAAGTGCTATCGTTGAATATCATTATCTGAGCCTATGTCAGCATGCTCTATTATTATCGTAATATAGTTCTTATTCTAGGGTAAAGGAATTTAGTAAATGCTATCGTTGAAAATTATAATTTGGGCCTATATGCTGTATGTAATGAAAGTATGCCCTCTAACAGTCGTAATTTGATAATAGCAAGTAATGAATTCAGTGAATGATATTGTTGAATATCATTGTTTGAGCCTATGCTATTATACCATGACCTCTTATTATCTTAATTTAGGTCCAATTGAAGGTGAATAATATAGTTCAGTAACTTAAATGGGGAAGGGAGTTCAAAATAACAGAGTAATAACAATCCATTTTTACCGATACGTTATATGAGACACATTATACGTAGGTTTTATGTGATTATATGTGAGGAACTACTTATGCCCCAAAATTACGAAATACAATATCTATGAAGTAGCTATATTAAATACGATGGAAGTTTGATGCTGACACTGGTATATTAAAAACGAAACAAACAAAACACGGAGTATAAAAATCAAAAACTTTACTGAACTGGATTTGAAACTTAAACTATTAGCAGTTTCCTACAATTAGTAAAACATTTTCTTAAAATGTAACAGTTTACATTACTTTTAATTACCTTAAAAAATTATTTTCGAATTTTAAAGATATTTTATTTTCTCAAAGTTTAGAGTTAGTGAATGACTAAACTTTATCATTAACTGATGAATCAAGAAAATAGAGTTTCTATTCAAACAACGGTTTTTAATCAACCTTACTTTCAGATGAATTTCAAAGAAATGAAATGTTTGTATCATTCACAAAAATGCATTGAAATGACTGTATATTTTGATAGTTAATGAAATTCTAACCAGTAACAGGTTTCGTGGGATGCACTTGAACTTTCTCATTCCAAGATGGTCTAAATATTTGGTATTTAAAATTAACAAGACTAAAAGGAGGTGTTTTTTTCTGAAATAATTGTCTTCCATTTAAAAAGATGCAAATTTGCGTAATATTCCGTGGGAAAATAATTTCTCAATAAAGCAATCTTTAGAAGTTTAAGAATGGCTTGGGTCGAGAGGATAATTTCTTTTAAAGAACGATAACAATTGTTGTAAGTTGAATTTGTGGAATAAGTAGGCCAAAAGAGCATAATGCATAGGTGAATGCCACTGTGTGTGTAGGTATGAGTCATCCTGGTTTTTTGTTTCTTATAGTTTCTGAAGAGTGTTATTAGAAATGTCTCAAATGTAGTGCTATAGTTTAAAAAAAGTTATTTTCTATTTATATGATTTCTGTTCCAGACGTACAAAAACTAATACTAAGATAAATTGTGTTGACATAAATATGTATAATTTAAATAATGATATTAAATAATTTCTCCCAATACTTTATCTATGAGTTCTCTTGTCTTCTGGATTGAGTTCAAATTCAGAAGGCTATAGAGTTAAACATTAGTAGTAGTAAACCCAAAATTGGATCAGCTATTTAACGACCTTTATAAAATAAAATAAAATCACTTTGATAAGATATGTGAATAAGAAATTGAACATTTTCAAACTTTTAATTGAGAACAAGTATTTTTATGGATTTTTTTTTGTAATGAATAATTACTTGAGCAGAATATTGTTTTAATGCCATCCTTTAATTTCGTAACTTATGGTTATTTTCTACCCTAAAATAAAAATGTTTCTATATTTTCAAAATATCTATCAGCCAAGAGCAGAGAAGATGTCTTTTGGTCAGATAAATGAATATAAACTTTGAAATTGTAATATATGTTTAGTTGCTGCTTTTCATCTTTACTTAAAACATTTTCAGAATTAAAATTTAAAAGCAAGGTGTTCTTTTCTCTTTTAAGTTCTACACGCACCTCATTTTACATTTTTACTTAACTAATCCAACTCGCAAATTTGTTCCTCTTGTTGGATTGAAAATGATCATAAAAAACTCACTTTTAAGAAAATGTGACTTAAATTTAATTTGAAAAGTTTATCAAACACTGTGTAACATATGTAATCTTTATTCATAATATGGTCAAGTTTAAAATAGTTAAATTAAATGACGTAACAGAGTTTGTTACTACATTAAATTTGAAGCAAAAACTTTTTTTAACGAGGCAAACTCCTTACAATGCGCTGTCACATTTTTCAAAAATTTGAGCAACCCGGTCCGTCTAGTGACCATTTGTGTCTACTCAATTCATCTGATTACTGATAGTTAATACTGAATCTCACGCCTAACATATTTTCAATGTACGAAATTGCGAGGAAAAAGAATACTGATGGAGGTACGTCTTTGGCAACCGCATAGGACGTGCGTCAGAATTTACTTGAAAATAAAAAACTCACCATTTCAGACACGAGCAAGCCTCAAAGGCTTCCTTATTAGACACGAACAAATTTTGTACAATTGTCAAGGAACTTTAATTATAAATTTAGGCACGTTTCGTTTCCTTATATTTTTTAAACAATTGATTCTTTGACGTAGCGTGAAACTTATTATTCCATAATAACAAGGAGAAATTTGTATGAAAGAAGAGGTATATATTCCAATGTAAAAAAAAGGCATGTGTATTGAAAATGTCTATTCTTGAAATGTTTTATTATTACTAATTTATATTTAGATGGATTTTTGCAGTCTTTAAAATGCTGATAATGGGCACAGGCACAATTAATGATAATTTTTGAAACTCTTTCGCCAAAGAGCAGAAAAAGAAAAAGTAGAAGACTCGAATAAATAGCTATAATTTTAAATTGCACATATCAGGCTGCCTTAGAATTATCCATTCTATAGAAAGGACTGATAATTTTAACATGTAAAAAAGAAACTAATAAACTTTTTTTAAGTGCTAATTCAGTGAAATTTTTTTGCTGATGCAATTTATATAACAAAAATTAGTTAATTATTTACTGTTACATAGTTACATTTAAATCTCAAAATATAACAAATCTGTCTATCTTATTGTACATAAAAAATCACCAATGAAAACAATTCTAAAATTTAAATTAACTTTTTGTCTTCGAATGCACAGATAAAAAAAGTCTTAAAACAGATTTAGAGCGTTTTTATCAAACAAGAAAAGAAATACCTTATTTATATTTATATTAAAAGATGAAGTTCTTGAAGTCTACTAGAGAGTTTTTATGAATAGCTGTTGAAATTATAAACTGTCGCTAAGCGGTAAATGTAATTAAATTACGAAAATTTATTCCTGATTGTCCCTTCGATGAAGCTTTCTGCAGACGACCTTTTCGGAAATCCTGTGTAACAATTGAAAACGAACTATTGCCACCAATATTTATTATTTAATCTCGGAAACGATTTTTCTGAAAGGATGTCACATTTGACTCTACCATCGGAAGAAAAAAACTAAATAAAAAAAGAAATCTGAGTGAAATATAGTCAAAATATTTTGGTACAAATTTAGGAAGAAAGACTAGAGCCAATTTTTTGAAATGATTGTTTGGTATTTTCAATTTAATATAGATTAGCTACATTGTGAATTCGATAAATAAATTAAAAGCAAAAGAATTTTTAAACAAAATTCGTTCATCGTTAAGGAGATATAATTCCGTTTATAATAATAATAAATGTATTATGTTTTCAAGGGATTAATAATTTTTTTTTTCATTGAAATTCTTATGAATTTGTATTATTATTAGTTCGTTTGATTTCATTATAACAATGTTTAAGCTAATCATATTGACAAGTGCTAATGTATTTCGATTTGCAGTTTTTATAACAAGAATTGAACTTTATTGTTACATAGTTACATTTAAATCTCAAGATATGACAAATCTGTTTATCTTATTGTACATAAAACAAATAAATCACCAAGTAAAACAATGCTAAATTTTAAATTACTTTATGACCTCGAATGCACATAAATACTCATTAGAATTACAATAGTAGTTCGAAACAGATTCAGCGCGTTTTTATCATATAAGAAAAGAATAACTTAATTTACATTTGTATTCCAAGATTAAGTTCTTTAACCCTACTAAGGAGTTTCTAAAAATAGCTGTCGAAATTTTAAGCTGTCACCAAACAGTGAATGTAATTAAAATTACGCAAACTAATTTATTCCAGATTGTCCTACATTCTTTGAAGCTTTCTGCAGACGATCTTTTCGGAAATCCTCTGTAACAATTGAAAAAGAACTATTGCCACCAATGTTTATTGTTTAATCTCGGAAACAAATCATACGATGATAGATTTTCATAGCGTGATATATAAAAAACGGTTGTCTATTGTGGGCATTTTAATAATTGGGTAGCTAGATAAAGCGAGGTATAAAATAAATTAAAATAATGATCTGTATTGTTTTTTTTCTTCAGATGGATGGGTGTTACTGACAGTGGCGGGAAAATATCTGTATGGAACTCTCGACAGCAAATAGTTCCTATATCATATTCTCATTTTGTATTCTTCTCATCTGTAGTTTCTCTACTGTAAAAGGTAAGATACTGTCAGGTAAAAACCATTTTTTTATCTCATGTAACCTCATTTTTTTCTATTATTAAAAATTAGTTTCGAAGCTGATTGAATTTAAAATGTAACTGCAGTGTAAGGAACTGCTTTCCGAGATATTTTTTGGAATAATGAAGTTTTAAATTTAGGAATTTGGAATAATTAATTAATAAATTTGGAGTAATAAATTAGTTATTTTGGAAAAATTAATTAATAAATTTGAAATAATTAATTAATAAATTTGGAGTAATTAATTAATGAATTCGAAATAGTTTATTAATAAATAAGAATCGAAGTTGATTAAATCTAAGTTTATCTAGAAAATGTAACTGCAGTATAAGAAGCTGCTTTCCATAATATTTTATGGAATAGTAAATTAGTAAATCTCGAATAATTAATTTATAAATTAGTGCCGAAACTGATTAAATTTAGAATTATCTAGAAAATGTAACTGCAGTATAAGAAGTTGCTTTCCGTAATATTTTTCGGAGAACTTCCTTTTTCAGATAATTTTTCATTTTGTTAAACCAGTTCTCATGAAAATTAAACTAACAAATCTCGTCATACTTCGATTCACAGAATTGAACTAATAAAAGAGTGACATTAGAACAAAAATATACAGTTTAATCGCTATTTTTTAAAACGCGATATAATTATTAGACTGTGGGACATACTACAGTTTTACACATGCTAATATAACTATTCATGTATTTTTCTACTTCATACCCCCCCCCCGAAAAAAAATGAAATTCTCCCGGTTGTAACTTTCTTTGTTCCCATTATTATGAAGTGATAAAATACCAATTTTTTCACTTGATTGAAAGATTGCAATCGAGTGGTGTAAAATATAAAACTTATACCACATAAGTCGATACTAATAAGCAAATTTTTAACGATTTTCAACTCATAATTTGAAATTTGCATTCAATGAATGAACATCATTCCACTCCAATATCTTGATTTTTTTTTCGTTCCACCTTTTTATCCATTCTAGTATAAATCAGATAGATAAAATGAGTGAACCCAGCAATCTGAAAATAACTACACAAGCAGTTCTGAGGGTTGGAGCGGTAGCGAGCAGCAAGGCCTTAGCCAGGATATTTTTTCGGNGTAAGAAGCAAGGACGGTTTCAGACATGCAAAGTAGGGGGAAAACATTGTAACAAATATTGTTTATTCTGTTGTTTGCAAAAGTTAAACTAGTAATTAAAAATATTACATAATGCTTATTTTTCAATTAATATCACATAATAATTATAATCAATTTGTAAACAAAGTTTACAAAGACATGCGACGGGGATTGGAAGAAAATTTTTCGATTACTTTTTTAGGACAAACCAGAATATCCCGAAATATGCTTAATAAAGTTAGTTAATAAAAGGTTTGATTCGACTGTTTTTGTTTTTCTTTTTACTGAGAGGCTCAAAGACTAAAAAGTTTGAATCCCAGAATTTCGGTCGGGGGGGATTTGTTCCGACCGCCCCCCCTGGCTACGGGCCTGGCGAGCAGTGCCTTAGTTTTTAATGTATTTAATATAGAATATAGATATAAATTAAAATATAAAGTTAAAGTACTAAAGACTAGGGCGAAATGACTAAACGTATTGGCCTGGAGGGGAAAAAACTGTTATTATTATGTGCGACTAAGGGACCGAGCTTTAAATATATTTGGTAAAAGAAATTAAAGCAAAAAAGCTGGGGCTTTGTATAAGGGTAAGGTGAAATTAGCGAGTGATGGTATCAGAAAGGTTCCGGATTGTGGCGAGAGATAACGAGCAGGGGACGTAACCACTATTTACAATTAAGAAAACAATTTCATTTTGGTTTAAGTTAAGAATTTAGCCACTAACTTCAGTTTTAAAAATATATTGAATATTTTGCTTAAAACCACTGAGTTAACTTTCCTAATTATTTTATTGAGCCCAGTTGGAATTTAATATAACTTAAAGAAGATTTTGAAGTTACGTAACTAGTTTTTCTTTTAAAGTAGTAACTGAATAAAAATTGAATATAACTCCTGCTGAGACTTTTAGAAAAGCGAAGAATTAGACAGACTAACTTAATGGCAAAATCACGCGGCATGCTTCGTACGCACAAAGGCGCGCATCAAAAAAAGTGTTCAACCAGTTTTGGAGCCAAGGTTAAGAATTTTAGTTGTGTTCTAACTCAGGGTCAAGAGAAAGTCCTGTTCTTTCCTCGCTTTTTAATCGATTTTGAAGGACACTGAAGTGACCTTTCCCTAGTAATAACCTGTCTATCGTTACACAGACCTACTAATTACAACATCGAATGTTGTAGTTGTTTACAATCAGTTGGAATTAAATCATTCACGTGGGCTGTTCGATAAATAGAATTGAGTCAAGTGGGATGAAAGGGATTTTTCGAATTTGTTCTAAAAGCCATTTTTTTTATTAGTTCTTTTTATAACAAATGATTTTTAAATGTAGATTACCTGAATGGATTTTGTGTGTAGAAAACATGCCTAGTTTCTAATTGATTGCTTTGAGTCTCTAGGCCAGGTAAAACTAATATTCCTGTGCTTATTCTATAGTAATTCTGATAATCTTAGTTCTACAAGAAATTAGTCGAAAGGCTTAGCTGAAGAAGATTCTAGATGGTATTTTGTAAGCACTTGATATTTCACGGAGAAAGATTTTATTACCCTTTTATTATCTCGTCTTCTTTAACTTATTATTACCAAACTAATTTATATTCCAAGTCTTTAAATTTCAAAGATTTCAGTGGTTAAAGATAATAAGAGATAGTTTTTGAGTATTTTTTTGAATCAAAGAAGGTTCCGGGAGTATTTATCGAAAGTTGACAAATAAACTTTGAAAACATGCCTTTTAGTTGCAAAAAAAGTCAATATTATGAATGTTATATCGGGAAAAGAAATGAGAGTTAGGGATTTATATTCCGTTAATTGAAAGCTTGCAGACACGAAATAAAGACGATGCATAATCTAGCTTTTTGCTGACTCTTTCAGAAAAATTAGTATAACTTGAATCATAATATCGTGCAAATTCGATTTGCCGAATACTTAGTTATCTAAATTAATAACTGTCCTAACTTAGAGGTTTAAGACAAAATACTTATCCTTACCTTACAAGTAGTCGGTAGGGCATATACGAATAATGCTAAAACTGACCTTTTTCGCTGTACCTTTTCTCAGCATCCAGACAAGATATTGTTTCAATAATTAATACATATCTTTGGCATAATTTTTATAAAAAGGAATTATGAACACAGAACTTTTAATTTTTTTAAAAAATTTCATCATTTTTTGTGCAAAAATCTTTCCAAACTCAAAAAGTATTCCTATTGACGCTAAAACATTATTACAGCAAACAACTGATATAATCTCAAATGTCCCCCCAAAATTTTAAAGCGATATCGATGTCATAAATAGGTTCTTAGAAGAGGTACATCATAAAGGTCAATTTTAGCATTATTGATACATGCCCTACAGTGTACCCTTACACGAACCAACTTAAACTACACTCACTCGCAGAACTACTCACTCACTCACAACTGCACCCACAGAAAAATTGGTTCAACGTTGAATCATAATATTATGCGAATTTGATTTGCTGAATACTTAGTAAATTAATTTAACCATCATAACTCTACGGCTTGAGACAAAGTGTTCAATTGAATCATGTTTCCGTTCAAATTGAACCAAAGAACCATAAAATCAGGGAATGAGTTGGTATGCTGATAATTTTATACGATGATTTGTTTAATCCTTTTTAGAGCCATTTTTTCAGTAATGCTCTTTTGAAATATTATCGGAATTGAGATTCATTAAAAAAAAACAAGATTATTTTATTTTAATACCTAAAATTAATTTATTTTTAAGTCATTTTTTTGGTGAGAAGGTAGGTGAGATTTTCAAAGTTTTATTTATTGCTAAGAATTGGTTATAAATTTGAACTTAAATGCTTATAAATAACCTAATTTATAAATTCTATGTTTATAACTACAAATAAACTCGATGAGTTATGCTCAAATGAACGAATGCTTAACGCGTTAGAGAAAATAGAGACGCAGTGGTGGTCTCTCTTCCGGACCCCACGCAAAAAGATTTAATCTTACCCATATTTATGCAAACAATTATGTAAATAATTGGTATTCTTTTTAATGCTTTCTGATGCTATCAGCAAATGGCCGAAAAAATTATTGGAAGGAAAATAGCTTCCCATCAACAACTGAAAACCAATGGAGTTGGTGGAAAGAATGCTTCCCATGGTCTTATAAAAAGATTAAACTTGTCACCGTATTTAGTTTGCAGCAAATGCGAACTATCATATGTTTCTACTATCTCAAAAATTACTAACAATAATGCAATAAAAATTCTAATGAGTTCTGTGAGAAATAATGATTTCTGAGAGAATGTTTCAACAATTTTTCCATCAATTCCTTCAAAGATATATACATAAATCTTTGAATGAATTGATAGACAAATTGTTGTCATATCAGCAAATGGCCGAACAAATTATAGGAGGGAAAATAACTTCCCATCAACAACTGAGAACCAATGAAGCTGGTGGGAAGAATACTTCCCATGGTCTTATAAAAGGATTAAACTTGGCACCACATTTAGTTTGCAGCAAATGTGAACTATCATGTGTTTCTACTGTCTCAAAAATTATTAACAATAATGCAATAAAAATTCTAATGAGTTCTGTGAGAAATAATGATTTCTGAGAGAATGTTTCAACAATTTTTCTATCAATTCATTCAAAGATATATACATAAATTTTAAAAGCTATAAAAAGAAAAATGTAAAAGTTTAGAAAAAGGTATATTATAAAATTATGTAGTTTCCGTAGAAGGAACTTTATTCTTCGTTTTCGTTTCAATTTTTCTTACCGGATATTTCATTGCTGACATCATATGTTGCATTTTCATGCTCTGCCAGTGATTTGGAAATATGTGACATCGAAGTTGAAATGAAAAGGCAATAAAATATATCAAGTTTTTCTCACTTTTTCTTATATCGATGTTCGAACCGTGACAACGTGTCTGAAAATTTTAACGTAAATGTTTTTCTACAGCAAAACATGTATACGATATGTGAAAAAAAAGTTATGACTTGAATAGCTTTTGAATTTTGACTAATTGATCGAATTTTGTTTGCAATACCGCTTAAGTATAGAAATCAAGTTAAGTAAATGTGCAGATTAATTGGGTAGCAAAAATTGTTTCAGCTCTCAAATTACTCTGATAATCTTGAAGCTACCTAGAGGATCAGATGTAGAAAAGTGGGGGTCCTTGGCCCAAAACTGTCAGAGGCCTGCTGGTTGTTGCTTTAAGAGGAATGGATGAGAAAAATCCTTTTAAAAATCCATTGCTTGGTTTTTGAGATAATAACAAAAAATTGCAGTTTATTAAGTAATAGGCAAAAACCGTGTTTAAATCAGAGTTTATAATAACAATTAAACTGTTATAAATAAATTAATCGTAGAAATACCTTGTAAATTACGAAAATTGCATCTGGAAATGTAATAATCCGATCATTAGGCCAAAGGTTATTTAAAATGATATGTTTTTTCGTGCACTATATCGAACTATTCTAATCTTAGAAATTCTATTTGTGCTGTACGATATTATTTAAAAAAATGTTCGCTTTAGTTATAGACACCACTTACCAAATAAGGAATTCCAATCAATTTATTTACTTCAATTAGACTTAGAAATCTTTAAACTTTACCAAATTATTTCAGTCATAAGGAAAAAAGTTTCAGTTTGCATAACAAACCATTGATTTTCTAACAATTCTTTCAAAAAAGTATAAATAATCATAACTGGGCAGAAAAGAGTGATTAATGAAGAAATATTTTCCTTGAGGTAATTTAAGCTTGAATTCTTTTAGTTTTTAAAATGAGATAATGTGATATACATCATGTGATAGGGAAATGTGAAACACATAAATTTAGTTAACACCGTAATCATAGTTTCTGAAATTAATGCTTAAAATACATCCAATTCAAGCTTAGTAATATTATCTGACTTGCTTAATATTCTCATTGAATTTATTAATATTTTATTACTTTTATTTATATTATTTCTGTCTTATATTTTTGTTATATATATTTTTATTGCTTTATTAATATTTTTATTAAGGTGCAATTTAATGTTTTAATTCTCGAGGCAAGCTGTAATTCTTAAACAGAAGTATGGGATTTCATGTTTTAGATTTCAGAAATGTTAAAAAGTCTCGAGAAAGAAGGCTTATGATACAGTTTTTAAATGACCCCAAGTTCACCAGAAATGAAAGATTAAAAGCGAATAGTTCAGATAAAGAAATAAACTGTAACGTCACATTTTTGTTTTAGTTATGTTTATTGATTTACAATAGGTTGCATAATAATATAGATTAAGGATTAAAAACAAATAGTTCTTATAAAGAAATGAACTGTTATGTCATATTTTTGTTTTATTTATGTCTATTGATTTACAATAGGTTGCATAATAACATAGATGAAGGATTAAAAACGTATAGTTCACATAAAAAAGTAACTGTTATGTCACATTTTTTAGTTATATTTATTGATTTACAGTAGGTTGCATAATAATATGATGACGGATTAAAAGTGAATAGTTCATATAAAGAAATATACTGTTATGTCACATTTTTATTTTATTTATGTTTACTGATTTACAATAGGTTGCATAATATTATAGATGAAAGATAAAAAGCGAATAGTTCATATAAAAAAATAAACTGTTACGTCACATTTTTGTTTTAGTTATGCTTATTATTTTACACCAGGTTGCATAATAATATAGAGCTTTATTTTAGTTTTAATGATGCATGATAATTAACGCTGGAGAGGGATGCACTTTATTAACAGAATTAGGCAAGAAATACATTGCTCATTAATTTAATCTAATTTTGTTTTTCAACTTTGGTATACTACTTTGGTTTTCTCATTTACTATTCATTTTCTTTTGTTTTTATTCATTTAGAGAAGTTCGTGTTGAAATAAAGGACTTAAAACTGTTGTGTCTCCAAACACTGAAATTTACAGTTATAAACACAGAAAATTCTGTGAATAATTTGCTCTAATTTTAATTTTCAATTTTTAAACTGAATGAAGTGTATATAAATCAAAGGTTTCACCGTATGCATATGTTACAAATTTTCAGAATTTCATTTGAAGAAAAAAAAGTACCAGCACACATATGAAGTTAGACTAAAACTTATCAGCATCCTTTGAGCAAATTGAGAAAGCTCGAATTGCGATGCAATCTAAGACGAATTGTGAAATCAGTTACGTGGGTTACATTAGGTGGGACCCCTTAGCTTAAAGCAATACACTTATAAATAATTAATAATAAATTAATTATTGCCATCTACAATTTTATTAATCCCTACTCATTACATATTATTGAGCATAAACATTTTAAATTGCTAATAGTAATTGAAACTTCAAAAATTACTACATATTAGACAGATTCCTACCAAGTTTGTATATTTAATTATATTACTCATTGGTGTAAGCGTGATAACTTAATTAGTTCACAGTTTTATACATAAAATTGTTTTCTGTGTGTTACAGTTACCAAAAGAACCTTTTATTCTTAACTACTAAATAAATAACATAAATGCAGCACAGAAAAAATATTGCGAAACAAAAAACAAATAAAATTTCATTGCTTAATTTAACGAAAAAAAATTTCACCTTGTGAGAAAAAACATAGGAAAAACTTCAACTAAAAGAAGAAAAGATTGTCTACTAATTATTTCAAAAAAACAAAGAGAAAATGTGAACCACCAATACAATATGTCCTTTTTTAATTTCATACTTTTTGCAAACCTGGTTAAATATGACTCGTCAATCTTCAACAGCAATTTAAATTTTGTTCTTTGAAAATTATTGTCTGCTACTATGCCAATCTTCAACACTGTGTCTTATAGAAAAAGTTCGTTTTTCCTGTATAAGTAAGTCAATTATGTATAGATTTGTTTTATTTTATTGCTTTCTTTTTTAGGTGCTCCAACTTTAGAAGCAACTCCCTTAGAGCCTCTGCTGGCAGTGGCCGGGGATGCTGTACTCATAGATTGCGTCGTAAAGAATTTGCAAAATTATACAGTGAGTAGAATATTATTCTTATATTGTCAATCGAAACAACATGATGTGCATGACATATACAAATAGATTCTAATTAATATTAATCTGTATAGATAATATGGAGGCGGGTAGTACCAGGCTCCAACAAGACAGAAATTTTGAGTGCAGGGGAAGTGCGAATCATACCAGATTCGAGGTTTTCCTTGTTGCATCAAAAAGGTACTTATATTTTTTAAAATTAATTCGTAGATGTAAGTTAAATTTACTTGAACTTAGGAATATTTTGGTATATTTATGCATAGTAAAAAATTTTGGATAAAATTATGGTTTACGGTATCTGCACTTTGGGTGCATCATTTGTAAAATAATTTCAACCGTAAAATCCACTTTTACCGTAAAAAAAACTATACAGTAATTTTTACAGTAATATTTATTTTATTAGAATGATTCATTGATTTTACGGTAATTATTACGGAAAAAATTATGGTATTTTAGATTTTTTGTTGCGTAACATGTTCCGGTAAAAATTGATTTTACGGTAAAAAAAAAATATCGAAGTACCGGCAACCTGAGCGCCGGTAATTTTTACTGTAATTTGATCCGAAATTTTTTACAGTGTAGCTTCGAAAAGGACAAATACAAATATGTTACCACTTAAATGTGGAAATAAGTTATTCTTCAGATTATCTTGGTAATGTGCAGATTATCTAAGGTAATCCGTTAAAGTGTCAAAAAATTGCTTCATTTCTCAAATTAACGAGTAATCTGAAAATAACCCAGGTAATCCTCACGTTACCTTCTACCCACGTGTTAAAGTGCAAAAAAGATCTCAGATGGATCAACAACAACAACTCTTATGTACGCTTACATAACACAAACGTGTTTTTAATATTTATTTATTTTTCGCTTTCTAAAAAATAAAGTTACTACTGTCAAATAATCAACATACTTGATAGGATCAATCATCAATCACTTTAAAAACTATAATATAAAGAATTAAACGCTTTAAAATATTATTTCAGCTAAGGAAATTTTTTATATTTATTTATAAAAAGCAAGTTAATACAATTAAACAATCAATAAACTATTTGATAAGATGAGAGAAAACAACTCTTTAACTTGGAAGCCATTGATTCATTTGGAAACCGTAACACTTGATTCCTCACTTTAACAGATTACCTTAGTTAATAATGTAGATTTACTATAGTAATATATACTAAGTAAGTATATATTTACGGCTTTCGAGCTTAAGGGGTAACATATATACTTCAATATGCCGAGTGTTTCGTAATCACAGCTCAAAATATGGATTATTAGAGTGCATAGTAAAAATAAATTATAAAAGAAACTATGCATACTCGGGATCGCAACTTACAAAACGTAATAAAGATTTAACAAGTCACTATTGCAGAAGGCGTGCTTAAAAAGCATCGAAACCTTATTGATTATTGGAAGAAAATTGATTGGCTCTAATAATCGCTTTTCTCTGTTTCTTTTAACAATCCAACATATTTTAATGATTTTAAATCAAGTCTTTAACGTTAATAATTTGCTAACTTTTGATGAAGTTCTTTCTCTTGGATTAAATATCATTTTGCTGTCCATAATGTTTAAACTAAATAATTGTTTTATTTTAATTTTGACAAAGGATTCTAAAAATTTAGAAGATATTGATTGTGGTATATCATTGAAATAACATTTTTTTGTTTTTGTTAATATTTAAGAAATTGAAAGTACTTTTGTGCGTAGCTATTTTTGAAAATAAACTGCGCCTCAATTGTTAAAGCGTTTGTTTTTAAAACAAGAACTTAACAATTTTTTTAAAAAAAATCAGTTTTAGTTCTATTAAATATACACTTTTTTCAATATGAAGCGATTTTGCGTCAACTTATCTAATTACAGGATTTTACATACGACAAACCCGAAATTCTAAATAAAAATAATTATTATAAAACCAAACGTGCTTATAACATAGCATAAAGCAACGTGCTTATAATTGCATGAAGAATTATGAATTGCATAGTGCTCGGCTTAGCGTGCAGGTCGTCGGGCTACCGAAGCAAGGGTGTGCCATCCCCTCCGCAGAGGATCAAAGTTGTGATGGCATGTCTTCGGATCATCCTCAGGGATGTTTCAAAGAACAACGCCAATAGCCCATTGTGCAGCTCTAGTGTGACGTAAATGAACTACAACAACAACAAAATGAATTACATAAAGAGTTAAGTATTACATAAATAATTATGAATCACTTATGTAATTATGAATTGCATAAACAAATATGATTATAGATAAGAATAAATTACAAATATAACTATAAATGTATAAATAAATCTGTTTCAGGACATGAAACATGGGTGCTTCAAATTCAAAAAGCTCAAGTGAATGACTCAGGTCGATATATCTGCGAAGTCAACACAAATCCTCGAATGCAGATATTTAGGCTACTCTCAGGTAAGACGTCTGCCTATTGTACTTGGATAATATTTGTAAAACTCTTATTTTGCTGATGACGCGTGCAGTTTTTAGTGATAATTAAATTTATTATATTTATCCCATGATAAATGCAAATTAGTTAGCGAATTAAAATTGAGATAAAATATAATTGATTCCTAAATTTTTATCTTGCTATTTTATACCTTTCAATTATCTGATCAATTTATTATTGAAATTCGTTTCAGCTTTCCTAGATTTTATCCCCTTTGTTAATAAATGTCAGAAACAAAACTGGTACTCCCATCAAGTTAAAATGAGCAAATGTTATAAATCAGGTACAGGTACCGGTCCGTGGATCAAATAGTACCGGTCTGACCATTTCATTGAAACTAAATTTAAATTCCTAGGTTTATACCCCAAATTAAAAATATCTGTGTTCCATTAAAATTTTATTCATTTTAGAAAAAGGGGCCCCCGAAGGTATAGTGACATAAATTGTTTAATGTTTGTAATGTATCATTTTCTCCGATTACCCCCAGATGGAACCGTCTCATTGCAAGGAAACAAGATCAGGGTTCTCATTGATTTAACGTTCTAGTAGGCTAAAATGTTAAATCACTTTATATTTCTTTTTTGGTGTAACTGTATTTTATTTTGAAGACATGCTTAAATATAATTAAATTTAAATTAATAAAGCAAAATGATCTGAAATATAAACAATCAACGTCCCCCCCTCAGAGGGCCGCGGTAAAATTATCAAACGTTGACAGGCCAGCGGTGATAAAAAGGTTGGGGAGCACTGCTATAAATGTTTGATTAAAAAGTCAAATTAATGTAAATTAATTTAAAAAAAAATTAAACTAAATTAATTAGAAAGCAAACTTAATTAATTGAAGATTATCATTAAAACAATTACTTTAAATTGGACGCATTAATTTACATTATTTAATATTGCAAACAAATTACTTTCGCTCATCGGTTTATCAAATCAAATAGAAGTGTTATTTGAATTAATATTATTTTACAATTTTAATCTTACTTTAAGTTAGTAATTATTCATTAAAATATGTTTTATAGTGGTAGAGAGAATTCAAACCAGTACCAAAGCCTTCCCTGTGGATCATAATTATACAAGTAAGTTAATTAATGTTAATAAATGTGGCATTATTTTATTTACTGACTAATTATTTACTATTATCATCATTGATATTTAAGTATATGTGACATAAAGTTTATAAATTTTGTTTGCTTGAATGCATAAAAATATTAATTTGCGATGAATTACAATGCTAAATTATTAATTTGCGAATATAATTACATGTTTTAAACACATTATTTATAAGAAATTATGACACTCATATATAATACCACTGCATTTACTCAAACTTTTATTCTGTTTTGCCTATAATGAATGTGATATTCTGTTTATATTTGATAAAAACTAATACGGCTTCACAGGGCTGTAAATTTAATTTTCGAAAATAAAATCTGACTTAAGATTATAAATAATAAAACGATGAAAAAATTTCATCTCCCTCTTATTAAATATTTTCAAAATAAAATATTTTCTTATTGGTTAATGCGGTCTCAACTAAACATGATTTTACTAAGTCATGGGTTTGGCCTAATGATTTAAGGTTCCGTAGTCGAAAAAAATTGTAAAATTTTTGTTTAAGATTCTGCAACTTACAGTCTGTGATAACTGTCCATTATTTTACTCATTAAGTCGTGGGTTCCGCCTAAAGAGGGGTTCCATCCCATGGTTTATCATTTAGGGTTCAATAGCCGAAGAAATTGTAAAAGCCAGGTTTAAGATACGATATTATAAATTTTATGTTGTTTTTAGATTGCTGTGTTAACCATGGAGTTCCTGCGAATTGCAGAGACTTCTGCAGCTTACAGTCTGTGATAATGGGCGGACACCCGAACCCCTGGCAATGCATGGACCATCTACCAGTGATTACAAGGTGTCTGACAGGTACTTCAAGCAAAATAAAAGTTACTGAATAATCGATTACAGCTCGAACATGATGAGAGTAGTTTTCTTGAGAATATTTCGTGTCTTATATTTACAGATGGCCGGAACCACATGCCTTGCTGTGAGAAGCAAAATATACCTGAAGTGTGTAGATCAGTTTGTTCCGGTGATTATGGTTTGTCTACAGTACTGCAACATTATTCCTGCATGGATCATACTATTCCTACTCTGTCTTGCATTGCTGAAGGAATAGGTAAGCAAGTTTAAGAATTTTTTTTTAATAACTAGGAGACCATTGTTCAGTTTGTTCTGCTCACCAGCACCTCAAATTGACTTTTATTCACCAGGGTTTGTTTTTTCGAAAACGTAAATATTGTCCTCAAAAACACAGCACATTTTGTTTTCAAACTACACAATTATTGATGCTTTGAGTTAGAACCTTTTTTTAAAATGTTAATCACATCCTGGATTTAAAAAATAATCATTTGTACTTGGAAAAAAAACTTAAGAAAACCAAATTATATGACCCACTAGGCGAAAAAATTTTAAAAATGTATGTTACCTGGAAAAATTGAAGGAATTTTTTTTTCTTAATTAATTATTTTTTGGTAATTTTTTTTTATTTTTAGATTTGTGCTTTTTGGAGTGCTACGAATCCGCATTTTGCGACCAAAAGTTTGTGCGCGAAATTTGTCTCTTTTCCAGGAAAAATGCAATTCTTTTTTCGGCTTAAGATAGAAAATTTAAATGGAATATGTAGATAGAAAATTTATATTTAAAATATATTAATTTATTTATTTATTCATAATTAAAAACTAGAAGAAACGTACTACGAATTCTGTAACTACAACGTGCCCGTAGGGAAATATAAATAAAATGACTATAAATACAGGTATAATGACTATAGCATGGAAATGACATCTCTCTCAGTACTTCAACGGAGGAAAATAGTTAATAGATGTTTTAAATTAATAAACCATCCTCGTTAGAGATCTAGTAATATACATAAAAAATATATATTTACATCTTCTCGAGAGGTGAACTCCTCCACTCACCCCAAAAAGCATAATATTTCCTAACCATACTATAATTTTTAAAGTCTTGTCCATTTTAAATTTTTGCCTACCTTTTTAAATTTTTACTCAATTTAGACGTTAATAACACTCATGTCAGTTTTCCCATCACCCTTATCAATTTATTAACAGCTTTCGAGAAGTTGGTTTTCCCCTTAACCCCCTACGTTGAGCACTTTTGTACAAATCATGTTTTGGTGCAAGGACTTTAATAATGTGTGGAAATATCATGTTTTGGTTTAAAAAAGATCTGATTTAAGGACATTCTTTACGTACTTTTGGACAAATGAGGGTATTCACCAAAAATTTGACGCACATATTTTAACATGAAACCAGTTTCAAGAGGTAAAAAAATTTAAAACAATTCACAAAATGTCCGCTGTATTGCTTCTTTAATATGCACTGTGGAAATAACATGTTTTGGCACTTTTGGACAAATGCGGACATTTTCAAAAAATTTGACGCACATATTTTATCATGGAACCAGTTTTAAGAGGTTCGCTTTTATCAAAAAAATTAAAAACAATTCACAAAGTGTCCGCTGTATTGCTTCTCAAAGTGTCCCCTGCATTGCTTCTTTAACATGGACTGTGGAAATATCATGTTTTCGCACTTTCGGGCAAATGTGGACATTTTCAGAAAATTTGACTGAACATATTTTAACATGAAACCAGTTTTAAAAGGTTCGCTTGTTTCAAAAAATTTAAAAAAATTAACAGAGTGTCCGCTGTATTGCTTCTTTAATATGGACTGTGGAAATATCATGTTTTGGCACTTTTGGACAAATGTAGACATTTTCAAGAAAATTGACGCACATATTTTATCATGAAACCAGTTTTAAGAGGTTCGCTTTTCTCAAAAAAATTCACAAAGTGTCCCCTGTATTGCTTCTTTAATATGGATTGTGGAAATATCATGTTTTGGCACTTTTTGGCAAATGTGGACATTTTAAAAAAATTTGACGCACATATTTTAACATGAAACCAATTCTAAAAGGTTCGGTTTTCTCAAAAAAATTCTAAACAATTCACAAAGTGTCTCCTGTACTGTTTCTTTAATATGGATTGTGGAAATATCATGTTTTGGCACTTTTGGGCAAATGTGGACATTTTCAAAAAATTTGACGCACATATTTGACATGAAACCAATTTTAAGAGGTTCGGTTTTTCAAACAACTTTAAAAAATTCACAAAATGGCCGCTGTATTGCTTCTTTAATATGGACTGTGGAAATATCATGTTTTGGCACTTTTGGACAAATGTGGACATTTTCAAGAAAATTGACGCACATATTTTATCATGAAACCAGTTTTAAGAGGTTCGGTTTTTCAAACAACTTTAAAAAATTCACAAAATGGCAGCTGTATTGCTTCTTTAATATGGACTGTGGAAATATCATGTTTTGGCACTTTTGGACAAGTGTGAACATTTTCAAGAAAATTGACGCACATATTTTATCATGAAACCAGTTTTAAGAGGTTCGCTTTTCTCAAAAAAATTCAAAACAATTCACAAAGTGTCCCCTGTATCAGGGCTCGAAAAAACTCAGAAATTTTACCCGTCCCCGAGGACGGCTTGTCCAACAATGAACCCGTCCTCCTTTTAAACTAACCCGTCGCTTCTAAATAAATAAAAATATAATTTTCTCTTATTTATTACAAACATTTATATAAATTGCTTAATGAATACGTTGTTACTAGGATTACAAATGCTAGAAATACAATATACAGGTATAAAAGAAATACTAGGTTACTAGTAGTAACTTAGTATTTCGTTTATGAAATAATTTATTTCCTTTATGAAATAATTTAAGTGACAAAGGCAAGTTATCTAGAATGTCAATTACCAGGAAAATGGCCGTCCATGCGGACGTCGCATTCGAGAAATTCGTTGTCCTCGGGGAATTTTTGACCCCCGAGGACGGGCGGACGGGCTGTTTTTCGAGCCCTGCCCTGTATTGCTTCTTTAATATGGATTGTGGAAATATCATGTTTTGGCACTTTTGGACAAATGTGGACATTTTCAAGAAAATTGACGNAAATTAAAAAAAATTCACAATGTTTCCCACTGTATTGCTTCTTTAATATGGACTGTCGCAATATCATGTGTTGGCACTTTTGGACAAATGACAACATTTACCAAAAATTTGACGCACATATTTTAACATGAAACCAGTTTCAAGAGGCTCAAGAAATTAAAAAAAATTCACAATGTTTCCCACTGTATTGCTTCTTTAATATGGACTGTAGCAATATCATGTAATGGCACTTTTGGACAAATGACAACATTTACCAAAAATTTGACGCACATATTTTAACATGAAACCAGTTTCAAGGGGCTCAAGAAATTAAAAAAAATTCACAATGTTTCCCACTGTATTGCTTCTTTAATATGGACTGTAGCAATATCATGTGTTGGCACTTTTGGACAAATGACAACATTTACCAAAAATTTGACGCACATATTTTAACATGAAACCAGTTTCAAGAGGCTCAAAAAATTTTAAAAAAATTCACAATGTTTCCCACTGTATTGCTTCTTTAATATGGACTGTAGCAATATCATGTGTTGGCACTTTTGGACAAATGACATTGTCCAAATGTGGACATTTTCGGAAAATTTGACGCTCATATTTTAACACGAAACTAGTTTCAAGAGGTTCGCTTTCTACAAAAAAATTAAAAAAATTAACAGAGTGTCCGTTTTATAGCGTCTTTAATATGGACTGTGGAAATATCATGCGTTGGCACTTTTGGACAAATGTGGACATTTTTAGAAAATTTGGCGCACATATTTTAACATGAAGCCAGTTTTAAGAAGTTCGCTTTTTTCAAAAAATTTAAAACAATTCACAAAGTGTCCGCTGTATTGCTTCTTTAATATGGACTGTGGAAATATCATGTTTTGGCACTTTTGGACAAATGTGGGCATTTTCAGAAAATTTGACGAACAATTTTTAACATGAGATTAGTTTTAAGAGATCCGCTCTTTTAAAGTAATTTTAAAAAATTAATTCTCAAATTGTCAGCTCTATTGCTTCTTTAATATGGACTGTGAAAATATCTTGTTTTGGTTTTTAAAAATATCTCATTCAAAAACAGTTTTTAGCAATTTTTGATTAATTTTTGATTGATTTTGAGCATTTTTAGAAAGTTTGACAAATGATGCTCTATCATAGTAATGCCGTGCACCAAAAATACGGACCGCCCTGAATATTTTTTAATCCAATAATAGGATTTTCACGTTCTAAGACTCATAATGGCGTTCTAGGACGATCTTAATGGCTCGACGAGGTGACGTCAAATATGCTAATTAATAAGTGCAGACGATGTTTTAGGTTACAAAATCAGACACAAATATGCACTTTTCTGAAATAAACATACCTTTTTCTCGACAGATTTGAATATCTAACCCTCAAATATAGATATAGCGAAAGGGTCCAAACTAAAGGGTTCAAACTTTGCAGCACTCGCCTGACCGAACTGTTGGGACCATTTTTCCCAAACTGCGGCTACGCCCTATTTTTCGGGGATCAGAAGAAAAAATTCGTCAAAAAAAAGTATGTTTACTCAGAGAAAATACATTTTTGCGTCTGATTTCGTATCTTAAAATATCGCCTGTGCTTATTAATTAGCATGTTTCAGGTCACCCTCTTGAGACATTAAGATTGAGTCTTAGGAAATAAAAATCCAATCATTAGATCGAAAGTTATAAAAGGGTGGTCCATTTTTTTTCTCTTTTTTTGGTGCACTGAACAACTATGATGTTTGGGGCATCTTACGACCAAACCGGTGGCCCTTTGGTCAAATCCTGTCTGCAGCTAACGGATATCTCTTTCTCTCTCTCAACTCAGACGCAGAGACTCAATCTCAGAGCTCGGAAGCGTTATATACTCCATCTGCCTAAAAGTTTTTATGATATAATTTAATAAGCAAAAGGGGGCTCCTGACAAAACAATTGGGACCACATTTTCCAAATTGCAATCCTTTGAACCATTGAAATCAAAAATGAATATGCCATGATGCATCATTGCTTGGGGTATAATTTGTATACCTTCAATTGAGTCCTACATGTTTCGTGTCTACAACAGATAGTTGGAAATCAATAAATGTCTGAAGTGTTCTAAGAGTATATATAAACTTGCTAAAATGATAGAATTTATGCTTATCTTTATTATCGCTTTTAGTTAGTAATGAAAAATAAAGTTATTTTTTCCCGTTTTAATATAGAGCTACTGCCAGGGCCTCCGCAAGAGCTAACCGTCGAAGCCCTTTCAGAATCTGAGCTTAAAGAGTATATACAAAGTATATACTCTTTACTTTGTATATACTCTTTAAGCAAAGTATATACAAGCAAAGTATAAAGAGTATATACAAAGTATATACTCTTTAAGTTCTAAGTTATAGAAGTTCTAAGTTCTAAGTATATAAGTTCTAAGAGTATATATAAGCTTGTTAAAATGATAGAATTTATGCTTATTCTTTATTACCTCTTTCAGTTAGTAATGAAAAATAAATTCCTTTTTTCCCGTTTTAAAATAGAGCTACTGCCAGGGCCTCCGCAAGAGCTAACCGTCGAAGCCCTTTCAGAATCTGAGCTTAAAGAGTATATACAAAGTACATACTCTTTAAGTTCTAAGTTATATAAGTTCTAAGTATATAAGTTCTAAGTATATAAGTTCTAAGAATAGATACAAACTTGTTAAAATGATAGAATTTATGTTTATTCGTTATTATCTTTTTTAGTTTGTAATGAAAAATAAATTCCTTTTTTTTCCCGTTTTAAAATAGAGCTACTGCCAGGACCTCCGCAAGAGCTAACCGTGGAAGCCCTTTCGGAATCTGAGCTCAAAGTGAAATGGATTCCACCCCATCAGGATGTACCAGTAGAGAGATATCATCTGAATCTTACGTTGATAAAAGAATTGAGTGATGCACAGGAAATGGAATTGGGATCAGTAAGTAAAATTTGGATTTCTTGAACGCCTATTTTTTCAGAAGTTTTGATAGTTGCAACTGAAAAAAAAATCATGCAGAGTGTTTCATACAAGTATTTTTTAAAACCTTGTCAAAAAAGAAGAGAAAGGAGATACACATAAGAGATCGTATTCAAAGAGTGAAGAAGGTTTTTTTCTAAATGGGTCTCAGAAGATCTTTTTGTTATGATAGGTTTTATTCTGAATAATTTGACATCAAGTATAAAGTAATACTCAAAAAACTTCTCAAGTTTCAGCAAAATAATAAATAAGTAAAATAAAATGAAATGAAATTAAATAAAATAAAAAACAATAAATAATCTTGCCGATTAAAAATAGAAATTAACAACTATTTTTTAATCTGGAATCATCTGCAAACACAAATATTTTGTTATTTATTCAAGTTTTGTTTTTAAATTTGTTTTTCTCAATCAAAATTTTTCATTTTGCAAGCAAGATTTCTCGAAATCTAACAAGTCTATTCAGTTAAAACTTTGAAATTGTTTAAAGTATAGCATGCTGCTTAAATTTATCCTAAAACTAAAATATTGGAAGATACTTTATATGTATATTTTGGTCAAAATTAAAAAAAAAATTTCGATAAAAATCCTGAAAATGAAGTTTTTGTTTTAATTTAAGAAATACTTTTTGTTTTTCAAATTCTTTACGGTAGTAAGTTTTTTTAAAGCATATTTCACTAATAAAAATTATTTCAGGTCATTATCCTTTGACGCAGAATTTTTATTAAACGAATTTTTACACTTTTGTCATTGTTTTGTAATAATTTAGGTCTAAAATGTTATATTTAGCAAAAAATATAATACTGTGAAATATTATATTTTTTATATGTATAATATAATTAAGTAAAAAAACATTATATTTAGCATTTTAATCATTTATGGTTAAGAAATACAGTATGAAACACTGGTATTTTTTCGGCGTTAAAGTGAAAATGTTACAAACATGGCTCACTTCCAAACAATCACATCAATACACTACAACTAAGTGTAAATTTTCAAATTTTCTCCTCGTTGTAGTTATTAAGATATAAGAGAAATAGTAATTCTTCTTTGAAATTTCTTTAATTTACAAAATCAATTATTGATAAAGTTTTGAATATCAATGAAAAAAAAAGTGAAGCTACTTTTTTTGGATTTTATATTTTAGAGCAAATAAAATTCCGAGAATATGACAGATTTTTTTAAAGATTATTAGACTGTTATAATTAAAAATTGTTTATAATTAAAAAGTACCAAAATACATTTTTACTTGTAATTAGAACGTCAAAAACTAAAAGGGACACCTGTGTCTCATCTGCGCAAAGAGTTAACATGGTTTTTATAATTTCAATCGAGCGAGCAAGACGTCATAGTTTTCTTTTTCTTTAAATTTTAGCTCCAAAAATTTAATTACAAAAGTTGTTTGCATTGTTTCGAAAAAGTTTTTACATTTAAATAACGCTAAATTCTGGTAAAAAAATAAATTTGGAATGTTGAAAAAAGTTGTGAATTGTTCAGAATTCTAAGTTAAATTTAGAAGGTCGAAAAAAGTTGTGCATTGTTCAGAATTCTAAGTTAAATTTAGAAGGTCGAAAAAAGTCGTACATTGATACTTTCTCGATGAAATCAAAACCATTTAGACCCTAAAAGAAAGAAAAAAGAATAATAATATCGAAATAAGTCGTTACTTGTTTGCTAGAGGGAACAGAGGTGGGTTGAAATGCTTTCAAGTTTCATCAGGAAATCAAACAGGTTTTGAATTTTTTTTTCACTATTCACAATAGTTATTCGACGAATATTGAAACCGTGTTTTGTTTTCATCTCGCCTAAGTATTAGTTTATACTCAACAATGTGTGAGTACTTTTTTATTTTTTCAAGTGTTCTAATATACATTAATGGTGGATGTGCGGAACACCTTGTATATATAAGTTTATTAGTACTAAATAAACTTATAACTATAACCTTAACTATTTTGTGCTCTATATAGACAGATCAAAAGAAAATGAGCAAGATACCAGAATTAAAGAAATTAGGAACATCAACGTCTGTGAAATCTTTCATGACAGTCATTGTAAGTATAACTAGCATCTTAACTACTCTGACACTTTTTCATTCTTATAAAAAATTAAAATGAGTTTTAATATAATTGACGCGGAAATTTTGGTTTTATTAGAGCTTAAACTTGACATTTTTGATGGTTTTCATAATAAATTACTTTAATTTATATTGAATTGATTTCTCAAAATGTCATTAACCAGTTGGATGAGGACTTGAATTAGTTTATTTCTGTTTGTCTTGAGTTTATAGTTCTGATATCTATTCACATGATAATTTATATAATAATAACACTATAGCATAAATAAACTATTTAAATAAACCTATGGATTAATTACATTAGGAGCCAACTATTTTTAAAAAATGTTTCAAATCAGGCTAGGTTAGGTACTTGTAATTTTTTATTTTGTTGAAATTTTCGAACTGTGCTCGTAAGGAAAATTATATTGAACAAAAAGTTTTTTTATTTTTGCAAAAACATTTTTTCTCATGGTTTTCAAGGGATCAAAACTGAAGATCCCCAGGAATTTTTAGAAAACACATATATTTACATGCGGTAATACTTGTTGTGAAATGAGTGAACCTCGGGCAATGACCATTATTTTCTGTTCTACTACTTTGCATACTAACTACTAACAATTAAGATATAAATATTTTCAGTAAAAAATCTACGAATAAAGGTTATTTTCTTACACATGGACCGACAAAATCTTCTTGTGCCAACAGTGAGCCAGAAAGATATATATTTCTATGAATACATACCAATGAATGGTAAAACTAATGAATGGTACTCTTAAAAAAAACTAGCTTTTAAAACTAATGAAAAATTAAAAAAAAAAACGTGCTTTTTCAAGAAATATTTGATTTATTATTTTCATATATTTTTATATTTTTAAAATAATGAAACGATTAATTAAAAGCGTGATTAAAACTTTGATGAACAATTAAAAAAAGAAGCTAGAAAAAATGGAAATAACTATTTCTGATCGAATCCACTTAAACAGTAGAAAAAATTAATATCCAATATGAGAATTGCGATGGTATTGAGACCAAACACCACATTTTAGTCATCTAGGATGAAAATATAAAAATTTTGACAATAATAATTATTTTTTTTTGTTTGAAAAATTGAAGGTAGATGGCAATAAANAAAAAAAAAAAAAAAAAAAAAAAAAAAAAAAAAAAAAAAAAAAAAAAAAAAAACGGTTTTTTAAGAAATATTTGATTTATTATTTTCAGATATTTTAATATTTTTAAAATAATGAAACGATTAATTAAAAGCTTGGTTAAAACTTTGATGAACAATTAATAAAAGCTAGAAAAAATGGAAATAACTATTTCTGATCGAATTCACTTAAACAGTTGAAAAAATTAATATCCGATATGAGAATTGCGATGGTATTGAGACCAAACACCACATTTTAGTTATCTAGAAAAAAAATATAACAGTTTTTACATAAATTTTTTTTGTTTGAAAAATTGAAGGTAGATGGCAATAAAACCAGCTACGTGGCCAGTGGTCTTCAGCCTATGTCAATGTACGAAGTTAGAGTGACATCTGAGAATTCGCATGGAACTAGTATGCCAACATATGCAGTTAGAGCCCTGACATTGTCTTCCGACTCGAGAGATGCGGTTCCAGTTAACACTTCAGAAATTTATTTTGCTCATTTACCAAACATCACGAAGTGCTGTGAGGATAAAGGTGTTCCACAAGGAAAATGTCTCAATAGTCTTTGTGATCCATCGGCTGAAGAAGATGCAAAGTAAGATATCTTCTGGCAACGATACTTAACCCCTTAACGATCGGCTAATTTTCAAGAAAACGGTCATAAAAGTGCCTATTTTTTCACAAATCACAAATACACTTATTTGATTAGTGCTGATATCTAGCTTAAAATAAACTAACTATCTACAATTACCTTAAAAACATCCTGGTACTGCCGCCTGGTGTGTAAAACGAGAAATAAAATGTTCTCCGGGCAAAAGAAATGAATTAGTTTTATTCTCATTGGTGCTGTACTACTGAACACTCCAGCCCGGAAATATCACGGGAGCTAGAAATAGAGGGCGAAACCTCACCCCGTCATTTTCACGCGAACGAGAAGGAAGGGATTAAAACGCTGTTTGATATTAAATAAAGTATCATAACCAGATACTTTATTTAGTATAAAACTTAACATGAAAATCGACTATAGCAGACACACGATGATAGTTTTCGTTATTTTATGTTTTGACACCGATGACGATGCTTGCGATAATAAAAATGGTTAAAAAATATGTAGTCCTAAAGTATCATCCCAAGTGCCAAGATAGAAGGGAGAGGAATGTATTTTTTTTCATTCCGTGTTTTGGTACTGATACTTGCTTATAGTATCAAAAGTACAGTACGTTTTTAAAGTTTTTTATTAGTGTTAATTATGTTGTTTTTTGTGTTTCCTATTTCATTACAAAGGTAATTATAATTCCATAATCAGATTGATATTGCTTGACGAATTTTTGCTTGCAAAGTTTAAGCTTGCATACATTTTTGAAATTTCAAATAATTTGGCATTCATATTACTTGTCATATTACTATGTCTTGATATTGAAAAAAATGCTCACCGTGTATCATTTAATTTTAATTTTTAATTGATTAGATACCGGTCCATCATGACAAACAAAAGCATTTGTACTGTGTTACCCCTTTAAAGAAATAATTCTCGCGAATCTGCGTTTCCAACAATATGGATTCGCGCTACATACTGTGCTGTGATAAAGAACTCGTGCTAATCGGGTATGAATTTTTAAAAGATTGTTTTAAAAATCGACTAATTTGCTAATAGTGCAAAAGACTAGAAAAAATTTCTATCGAACTGTTTTTTGAATTTTCAAACACCAAGCATATATTATTTTATAAATATTGATAGTATTTTTTTAAATGGCAAAAAATATGAATATTTTAAATAAGAATTAAAATTTATTAAGAATACAATTTATTTAATTGTTTAAGCAATAAATTAGTTAAAGATTTTATTCTTCTTATTCGCTTGCCTATAGATTATCGGATGTCCTCATGTGTGCACCATATGTCAACATTACTTTTGAATGCATGGCTGGAGGGGTGGATCATAGTCAGTGCTGTCAACAAAGAGGTTTGCCTGAGATCTGCCTAGATTTCTGCCGTGGCAATATCACTCAGCTGGATTACCGCCATTTCATATGTTTAGATCACATAGATATTTACGGCAACTGTCTTTTGGAGCATTACAAAGTTCTACCTGGATCTCCAGAACAGTTCTTGGTATCGATGGTACATTCAAGGTGGGCTGTTCTTAGATGGAGTCCTCCAAGGTAAGTGTCCCTGTTTCTGTTCAGGTATTGTTGTTGGTAATATCAGACTTCGTATATAAAATCTCACATTGCTTCTTTGAAATTTCAATGCAGTTGACACATTTCAAGCAAAAGAACATGATCTTTATTAGAACGAATAATTTTGTAAAGTAGGTGAAGATTAGACAAGAGGCAATGCTGTCAACGAACAGAAAAAACACACACGCTAGTGGAATTTCAAGTGTCTTTGAGATCAACATTGAAAGTAGCTGGAGTTATTAGCATATAGCTTGTTTTTGATTAAATTAGCCGTAATTGACGCTTCCTCGAATTCAGACTTAATAAAAACATGTCAGTTTGCCGGGATCAATATTTCATTGCTTGCTGCCCAGTCTTGAACCTACGTCAACATATCTTGTAGCCCTCAAAGTTTGTTTCATTTACAATAATGCCAATTCTTTAGTTATCAATCAAGTTCATGTATCATCTCTGAGTAGCGCATTAAAAATCCTTCATCCTTAATTTTACTTTACTGGTATACCGTGGTAGCCATCGTGATAATCACTGGTAATCATCTTTTATTTTTCCCTATTTTATTCATCAATTTCTGTTCTGCAAATGACCGTATTTGTGCACTTGTTAACTGTATATTAATATTTTATATAGTGGTAGAAGTTTTAATTGAACAGACTAATTTTATTCAACTTCGTGGAAATATTTACCTAAATAAATCACTGTTTCAAATTGTTTTTTCTTTAACGAAGAATTGTTTTATAAAGATCAATTTTGAGCTTGCATTTTTATGAAGTAAATGTTTTGCAGTGTATTAGCTGAAAGTGTTCTTGGTTATGTATTATATTGGAAAGAGGTAGCAATGGACGAAATCATTGAATATAATGTCGTGACAGACGTGAAATCACCCCATTTGTTGGATGATCTAAAGCCACAAACAAGGTAACTAGTTAATATAACATAGTTCTGCTAATTTACGTATCACTCAATTTCATTTAAGCAATTAAAACTTTTATTACTTCTTTTGCAATTAAAAATGAAAATTCATTAGTGAAGTTTAAAACTTTAATTTAAGGATATAAGTGCGTAACTGTAGTTCAGATTATTTTGTGTAGCTATTTATAACCAACCTGCCAATCGTATAGGGAGATATTCCTGTTTAACAATAGTTGGTTGTAGCTGTTGAAAAACAGGCGATGGTTAACTTACATTCAGGAGCTATTCATTCGGTCGGAAAATTGTCAAGCGATGTAATTTTTCATTCGTATTAAATAGAAATTTTTGGGTCAAAATCTGTTCGATTTATAAGGATATTTTTTTAACATTGCAACACACTCGCATTACGTTTTATACGAAAAATATAACTATATAATACTAGTATTAAATTACTACTTATTTTTTAAATAAAATATGGGCAATAATTTGCTTAATTTTATTTTTTTAGCAAAGAAGGAAAAACAGTATTTACCAAAAATTTTAATTTATTTAAATTAAATTTGCTTTAATAATCTAAATGTTTATTAAAATAGCTAAGTGAATAAGCTAAGATTTACTAATAAAAATTTCAAGCCTATTTGTTTCTAAATTTTTACTGCTAAGATAATATGAGATTAATTGTTTTCTGTAAATGGCGCCTTAAACGGATGCTATACCACGGGGAAAACTTTTCACTGCAAATTCTGTTCCACCTTCATTAGTTAATTAAATAATAAAGTTTAGAGAAAAATGAGTTCAGGTAAGCCTCGAGTTAACCATAAAGTTAAAAATAGGGAAAATTTATTTTCAAAATATCAAAATGCTAACACATTAGGATTACTTCCTCACTGCATAATCCTGAGTTTGCCATAATTGTTTGCATTTTGATGTTTTGAAAACAATTTTTGAGCATTGAAATTTCACGGTTTACTATTGGTATATCTGAACCTATTTTTCCTAATCTTTAAATCTTAAATTAAATAATGTAGGTGAAGCAGAATTCGCCGTGAGCGATTTTTCTAGAGCTATAGCGTCCTCTTAAGAAGTTTTAATAGATATTCATAAGATAATCTAATCATTAACACATTCCTGCTATGTTAACCCATGATCTGTTTTTATTATTTAGATATGAGGTTTACGTTGCTGCCAAAAATGCATTTGGTCTCAGCCGAGGATCAGTTCGAGCTGTTTTCACAACCACGCCAGAAGTAAATAAAACCGAAAAAATTATGAAGAACACTCCAACATACAACGAAACAGCCTGTTGCATTGCCGCAGGATTGAAGAAATCATGCCTGGATCTCTGTTCCTATAATGTAAGAACACAAATAATATTAAAAAACCGTGCTTGCGTTTAAATCCCGTTGACCAGAAAAGCTCTCGCAAATTTAGACAAATTGGCACAGAATCATTTCATATTGTAACCAGTGCATATTTAATGGGAATTGGGTACCTATATGAATCTTGGCATTTGCTGATGCCACGATTCAGCAGTTGTGACATAGCCCAATGCAGGTACCCAAATCGATTCCTTGTGATAATAAACCAAGTCTAATAGCTGTGACGTTAACACGCCGCCTTGTTCAGGCTAACCATGGAAGGCTCTCATGGTCTTCCTCTCCATGCAACGCAAATGCTGGTTAGTTCCACCAGAAGGTTCTCCACGAAGGCAAATTTCTCACAATACTTGATCCAGGAGTTCCCTTGTCTTCTGGATTGGGTGCAAAATTACAAAGCTAAGGAGTTGAACACTAGCAGTCGTAAACTCAAAAATTGGGTCGGCTGTTCAACGACGGGTAAAAAAAGAACCATCTGATCTCATCGATTTTTTTCTTCTTTTTGAGTTTCATGTACCCAATTAGAATAAAAAGTTAATTTTGAAAAAAAAATTTCGTAATTAATGTTTTAGAACATAAAATTAAAAAAAAGCAATTAGTGGCACAGTTTATATGACTATACATATTTATACGACAAAAGTGCTTTAAATTCAATATATTATAACGAGAGAAAAGAAAGATATTTAAATGAAGAACTTTGAAAGAATAACTTTATATTTTTTTATTTGTCAAATGCCAGTTACATTAGCCGTTAAGCCATTAAACTTCTTGCTTATGCAAGAAGTTTAATGGCTTAACGGAATGCTTAACGGAATGCTTTACATGAAATATGCAAGAAAAATATGTCAGTGCTTCACACTCGTCCAAATGGAATAACTTCATATTTGGTATGTAGTTTTCCAGAGTTCGTACTGTACTGTTTTGCGCCATTTTTTACTTTATTTTGCCGAACATGGTCGACGGCATTACGCACAAGTACTTTAAAATAAATCCAATTTATTGGCATTTAAATGACCCGTTAAAAAATTTTTCAGATGAAAATGTCAGACTTGCAACTGCTAGCAATTCCTTGTGCCAATCAGCTAGAGATCCTTGTCCGTTGTGGAGCTGGTGGGAGAGACCACACTTCTTGTTGTCAAAGAAGAGGAATTCGTTGGGAGTGTCAGCCCTTATGTTCTGCTGTGATAGAGATGAGCCCACAAGCCATTGCAAGTACCTGCATAGGGGATGCTGGGAAGATTATCCAGTGCATGGCTGAAGGTGTTGGGATGCTGCCTGAAGCACCTCAAGATCTCCACACCATGAGTGTCCTACCAACAAGGATACATGTCAAGTGGAATTTTAATAATACAACTGAGTATCCAGTGTGGTTTGAAGTTCGGTATACTGAAACTCACGAAAAAATTCCTCCTCATCCACTGGACTATGCATATGTAAGATTATGCCATCATTACTATTTTATTACATGCTAATAATTCGTAAAATTTTTTTCCACTTTTAATGATTTTAGTTAAGGTATTCGATGTGTAATCATCACTTTTAATCTATATTATTAGGATTTCTGTAATCATTTGATAGTAATTTTTTGATGTTTGCAATTTTTTATGATAGTAGGAAATTCGGTTGCCATCAAGTCTTAGGTCGGTCCAATGCGGGGCTAAAGAGAATAGAGGGGCTAGTTCACTCCGCTCTTAGAACTGAAGCTACGATTTCCCTCCTCATGACGTCACTGTGTCCACAGATCTCGGAGATCGCAAGCAAAGATATGATAACTTTGCATCTTTNGAGATGAGCCCACAAGCCATTGCAAGTACCTGCATAGGGGATGCTGGGAAGATTATCCAATGCATGGCTGAGGGTGTTGGGATGTTGCCAGAAGCACCTCAAGATCTCCACACCATGAGTGTCCTCCCAACAAGGATCCATGTCAAGTGGAATTTTAATAATACAACTGAGTATCCAGTGTGGTTTGAAGTTCGGTATACTGAAACTCACGAAAAAATTCCTCCTCATCCCCTGGACTATGCATATGTAAGGTTATGCCATTATTACTATTTTATTACATGTTAATATTTTAATGCGTAAAAAAATTATCCACTTGTAATGATTTTAGTTAAGGGGTATTCCATATGTAATCATCGCTTTTAATCTATACTATAAGGATTTCTGTAATCATTTGATAGTAATTTTTTGATAGTTGCAATTCTTTATGATAGTAGTTAAAGACAATTTTGTTGCCCATGAAGTCTTCGGTCGGTCCAATGGCTCAGAGTGAGCCTGTTGACTCAACTGCGGGCAACTGATGGGTCATTTGCGAACATGCCGTCCTGTGGTATTGGATTTTGAACTTACGTCTGGCTTTCATACCTTTTTTGTCTTCTACTCGTAAAAACTATAGCACAGCCAGCCAATGAATATTTAAGTAAAGAAAAAGAAAAACATCAATAACAAACCATCAACGAAGAAGGTAGAATTAAAAACATTATAATTTGTTCAATTACCTAATGAAATTAAGAAGAAGGGAAATGCAACTTTTAGAAATAGTTTCAAGCTTCGTCGCGCCTTCACATTTGTTTTGCGTATTTTTAATTCCCAAATTCAGGTAATTCGTTACTCTTCATGTGCAGTGAGACAAGAAAGAAAGAAAAAAAAAACCACTCTGAATAACTGTTGATCTAATTATCGGATCTTCACGTTTTAGGACTTAATGGTTCAAGGGGGTGACCAATAAAATGCAAATTAATTAGTACAGACAATATTTTAAAATAAGGAATCAGACATAAGAACGTACTTTCTCTGAATAAACATGCCTTTTGTTCAACGGATTCGAATTTCTGACTCCTATAATATAGGGGGTAGCTGCAATCGAGGAAATATGATCCCAATAGTTTGGTCAGGAGAGTTTGGATCCCTTAATGTTAATTTTATGTTTGGCGTATTTACTCATATCTGGAAAACTTTTTAAGCGAATTGAAAATTTTTCGCACACAATTGCAAAATTTGTTTATCCAAAGGTAATTCCATGCAAAAAATAATTTTTAGTAAATATTTATTAATTTTTATTATTTTATTTAGTAATAGTCGAAAAAAATTCTCTGTTGTAAGGTATACCATTTTCTGCATCATTTTAAAAAACTTAATTTTACATGGCAAAATACAAAATTTGTACAAAAATACAGTTTAATAGTTCCTGAGAAATCGAATTTTAAAGAAGTCGAATATTTTAAATTTGATTTCTCAGGAACTATTCAACTGATTTCGCTCAAATTTTGTAGTTTGCCATGTAAAATTACATACATTAGATGACGTAACAATTTGTATACCTTACAATTAAAATTTGTTTGACTTTTATTAAATAAATTATTTAAAAATAATAAATTTTTACTAAAAATTTTTCCCCGGAGTTATCTCTGGATAAATGAATTTTATAATTGTGTGCAAAACATTTTCAATTCGGTTAAAAAAAGTCTTAAAATATGGTGAAATACGCAAAAAGTAAAATTAATATTAAGAGATCTAAACTTAGACGTTCAGACGTTATGGACGTTTTCTTTTATTCTTTTTTACTCTTTTAAAAATTCAAAAATAATTAATTATTCTAAGGGTATGCGAAATAAGTAGATACATAACAGGATGTAATTTTAAGTTAAGGGATTTTAAACTCTCTCTTGTCTCTTTTCATGATGCTATTTTTCTGTTAAAAATAATTCTACAGTTCTTCCATTATTGAGATTAAACAGGCTTACGAATGATCTTTATTCTTTGAATTCTTCTATGCCAGTTTCTTTCGTTTAGATTGTTTTACAGTAATAACTTAATTTTTTCCCTATATTTAAGTTTTGCCAAATACGATGAGAAACAAAAATGTTTTAGTAAAATTGCAGTGACAAATAATGTTAAAACAATTGCCCTCATTACATAGAAAGCTCTATCTCTGTAAACACAAGAAATTTTCCATGAATATCGAAAAAAAAACTTTCTTCACCAGCATTAAAAAAGGAATAGGGCCAATATAAATAGGATTTGGAATTCCTGTTTTCATGTGATGTCGTTTTTTTATACCAGTTTAGAAATGCTACGAAGAAAATATTTAGAAAAAAGATTGAGTCAGTAGAACTTTTTAAATTGCGAGAGCAGATTTTGATATTACACAGCAATTAGTTATAATAAACTTCATCCATGAAATATGCCCATAATTAACACATGTTGTTTTATTTTCAGATTGAAAATTCAACTGATACTAGCTTTGACTTGAAAAATCTTAAGCCCGATTCCTACTATAGCATATATGTCGTCGCAATGAATGAATTCGGCCCATCACTGGCGTCTCTGGTTCTCTTGGTCCGTACCCCTGAAAGAGATGAAATATACAACGAAACAGTGGAAGGTTAAAATTTTTTTTCTCTGAAAATTTATATTAAAAAATGCCATTTTTTTCTAAATACTTTCTATTCATTAATTGTAAGTATTGTATACTTACCAATGATCAATTTAAGAAAAGTTTTTTTTATGAAATAAAAGAAATAGGAGTTGAAATATATTAATGGTTTGTGGCGTTCTGTTAAGGAATTCAGAATAATTTCCCCCCAAGCCTACGTTTCAAAATTAGTTATAAAGTTTGCCAATAGATGGCGCTGCTTGAGGATAAAAATGTACAATATTGTATAGGTATTTTTAGCAACAACATTGCAAATGATGTTTCTACACTAAACACTATTTGCAGCCCTAGAGCCGTGGTGACCCAGGGGATAGAGTGTTCGCCTTCCAATGAGGTTAACAGGGTTCGAATCCAAGGGATGGCTGTTCGTTACAAATTCCGCATTCGGCTTGCACAGACTACAGTGCTGATATAAAATATCCTCAGTGGTAGTCAGATCATGGTTTAGAGTTCCCTTGCTGACTGGCCAACCGGGAAAGGTTTTTGTGGTTTTAATCTCCATGTAACTCAAATGCGAGTTAGTTCCAATAAAAAGTCCTTCGACAAATCAAATTTTTTCCAATACTTTATCCTTGAGCTCCCTTGTCTTCTGGATTGGGTTCAAAATTACAAGGCTATAGAGTTGAACACTGGTAGCCGTAAACTCAAAACATTGGGTCGGCTGTTCAACGACGGTTATAAAAAATTAAAAAAAATATTTGCAGGCCCAACGCGATGCAGTCTGCTGCCAAATTAAAGAAAGCATGTGGAAATATTTTAGTTCGAATGGTTTGATATGCAGTAAAACATTATTTTATAGTTTTTTTTTAAATTCAGAAGCGCTATCTGTGGAAGAACTTTGTTAACATATTGGTAATTTTCTGAGTAAAATTATCTGGCTTCCTAAGACGAACATAGTAAGTCAAAAATTCTTAACATCTTCGTTTTTTAATTAATTTTGCAAACTATTACTCTTGAAAAACTAAGTATTTCTCTATAGAAATAGCATTATAAATGTTAATAGGTATCCCAAAAATCCTTTATCTAGTTAACCTATTTTATGACATGTTTTTTTTCTCCACACCAGCAACGTTAGGTCCACCACATTCCTTGGAAGTAACTCATCAAACGATGGATAGTGTATCTCTGAGTTGGCGCTCACCATTCCACGTCCCAGCTAACTCTTCATTAACCTACACAGTATTTTATCAGCCTGTAAATTCAACAGAAGACATCGAAGATTCTCAAAGCAAATTGGCAACGGTACACAATTACATCACCATCAACAATATGACGGTAAACACTCAATACGCCATAGCTGTACAAGCAAGAACTGGCCACCAAGAAAGCCCACTATCAGAGACCGTGCTAGCTTGGACGGATCCTGCAATTCCAGCATTCCTGAATCCCCCAGTTGTTGTACCACAAGAACCTATTGTGGAAGGGTCAAATGTCACTTTGCTGTGTGTTGCAACTGGTATGCCGGTGCCAGTTGTATCTTTGTTCTTGAATGGGCAACTAATGGTGCAACAGCAACAGAGTCATGTCGCCCTCGTTGTTCCTCATATACAAAGGAATATCACTAAGGTTGACTGCTTTGCTGATAATGGATTGGGAACAGGTGCTCAAAGCTCCGCAGCTTTAGAAGTAAATTGTAAGTATAACTTCTAGATTTATTGCTATAAGAAGATTTACTAAAACCGTTATACCGAGCCCTTTATGTATACTAATATGGGAAAAGGCAACCGACCATAATTAATTTAAACAAATACAGGACGAGCAATTAATATAAAATGAGGAGGCAAACTGCCTCGTATGCATCCGTCTCATTTGCTGCGGGGAAGAACATATGAATATGTAACAGTCGTTTTAGTTAACGGTTTAGGAGGTGCGTTATGAGGTGCGCTATGGGGTGCGTGCTCATATAGTGGGAAAGTTAAAAATCTAGTCAAGGGTGAAGTCAATAAAGTATAAATTTTAAAAGTCGCAAGTTAATAATTGTGCAAGAGAAAAACATAATCACCCTCAAATTCTTATGAACCACTTCGGAAGAAGATGAAACTGAAAACATCAAAACCTATTTGATTGAAGAGGGAAAGAGTTGAAAAGGGAAATTAGAATCACCTCCAAATTCAAATCGAACTGGTTTTCATTGTCTTTTATTTTACCTACTTTATAAGGATTCGACAGATTTCGGTAGCTTTTTGTTTCATTCTCGTTTAAATATTAATTTGCAACCATTAACTGTATTAGAATTGATTATGTGAAAAACAATAGTGCTAAAACTCTCAACTGTTTTAACACTTTCTATCATCCTGAACTGATTTCTCGGACAAATAAAGGTATAAGAAGTATACATTTTCAAATGAAGATAGGGTATAAATAAAGCTTAACGATGTATGAATAAAGCTTAACCACGTGAATAAAGCACAAATATTGGCACAAAAATGGACTTAAGATAGTTTTAGTATAAACAAGATCGTTCCTCAGTATCGAAACACATAACATAACATAAATATACATTTGTTGAACAAGGTTTATTCAAAAATATACTTTTGTTGCTTAGATTAATCCATAAATATACATTTGTTGCTTAGGTTTATTGATAAATATACATTTGTTGCTTAGGTTTATTGATAAATATACATTTGTTGCTGAGCTTTATTCATAAATATACATTTGTTGACTTGAAAGCAATTCACGAGAAAGAAATTATTTAATTTGCTTGATAATAATCGGTAAAAATATTTTGAGTTGTAATTTGTTGAATACCATGTTTTGTAATCAAATGTCGTGGTTGTTATTCAAAACTTTGTAACAAATTTTCACTAATTTTCCACATTTTTTGTGCCTCATTATTGTTTTACAATTAGTCATTTATTTATTTTAATAGTAAATTTAAAATAATTAATAAACAGTTTATTATTTATGTTTATTTTAAGTCATGCCACAAGTTGAATCTCTGGATAAAAGAATTCCCGCAGAGGAGGGCAGTCAAGCAACAATTCGTTGTTTGGTTACCGGTCACCCTGTACCTCGTGTATTATGGTACAGAGACAGAAAATTAAGAGAACCTTTGACAAAAAATTCTGATTATGATTTAAATATGAAACCCTACAGAGAGGTATGAATTTTATTTTTTAATCATTTAAGTATTCATTATTATTATTATTATTATTATTTTTTCTTACTTATCTGCTAAAGTTTTACTGTTTAAATGAAATAAATATTTTTGATAATTTTCTTTATATGTTAGTATGCTTAATGATTTATTTTATGAAGCTGATTGCCACGGGGGGTAGGTTCGAAGAGGAGACATAATGTGAATCATCAGGGCGGGTCTGGATTCTTGGAGATTATCATCCGATAAGCTGCAGATAATATGTTTGACAAATCCTCTTTCTAAAAACGCCGAAGACAGTTAGTTCTTTGAAAATAAAAATCGCAGGATTTCGTAGAAAAAAGGTTATCCATCTTTTATTTGGTTTAGTTCTTAGATAACATGCACTTCTAGTACATGACTCACAAATTTAGAAAAAAAGGAAAATCCACCACGTGGATGCTGGGTCCTCCCTGTGTGCTCCAGGGAGTAGATAGAAATTTACTTTAACATATTAAAATAGTTGTTTTTTTTTGTAGAATTTTATGATGCATCAAATAATTAGAAGATAAGATTGCAGAAACTTATAAAAGGTAAAATTCAAAAGATTAACTATAGAGCACACAGGGGGATAAGAATAAAAAAAAACGCCGCTCTAAAAAAGGGACAGCTCACCTGAGATCAACGGGGAATACTGATCTATCTCCAAAAGATAACGTCCCCTCCCTAGCGGTTGCGAGAATCTCTAAAGACGAGCTAGGAGTCGAGCCCTAGAGATCCTGCAAAGGCAACGAAGAGGGCGCTCCTGTTGGAGACAGCCCAGTAGGAAAAGTAAACATTGTGGTGATCCCATGATCACACCACACTGATGCTCGAAGCTTACAGTGACACTAGATAAACCTCAAAGAAAGGTGTTGGGCAATTCCATGTCACACACAGGGTAATCAGAAATTATATATTGTGACAAAGATTACGGTATACACAATTATCAGCTCTTACACAGTTCAGGGAGGGCTTGTTCTCTATGAAACAAGTCTGTCAAGGGCAACCCTGGCGAGCTTTATAGTATTCAGATCTGGGGAGTATGTGGGCCATTGCATACAGCCAATATCTTCAATTTCTAGTGTGTCTGATACTTCAGCACTCTTGTGTGGCCAGAATTGTCACTTATAAACACAAATTCTAGACCTAAGGCTGAGATAGCCTGGTTGGTAGGGCGTTAGGTCCATGTCCAAGAGGTCGTAAGTTCGATCCCCACCTACTAAAGACTCTCAGTATAGTAAGTGGTGACTGGTGCAAGTTAAATCAGTCGGATCACTAAGTCCTCCGTGTTCTAATAACAAATCATACCTCTGGGGGTACTGAGTTAGATCGATTGAGTTTCATCGTTCTCTGGTTCAGGTCGAAATTACGATCTGTGGATGATTCAATGGATGCATGAATAGGTCTGTATGGGTCATGTAAAATATACATTAAGATATCGGAAATTATATTGGTGCACTTAAAGTGGAACGATCAAATCATATTTCGTATGAATGTTCCCTAAGTGTGTAAAAATCGTGAATTGTATTTCCTGACATTGTAATTTTCCGACAGAAATATTTAGAATATTGATTCACGTGAAAATTATGAATCGAATCAATCGAACAAATCAATCGTTAAGCAATTAACAACCATCAATTGACAAACGATAAACTTATCAAAAGATTTTTGGATCGGGATCCTTAAGCTTCCCGTCGGAAACAGAAACAATTTTTTTTACTTCCTTAAAATACTGGAGGTTCCATACCCTGCTCATTTCGCTCACCAACCAATTGGATTGCGGCGTATTTATTTTTGTTTTGATCTATAAACTCATTTTACATCAAAGTTATTATAAACTCATTCTACATCTCTAAACTCATTCATTGTTTAATTAAAAGAACCTATATTTCTTAAGTATACACACAGATTTTGTTTCAAAGATTAAGTGTCAGATTCTATTAAAATGAAACTCATACTTACTCATTTTGCTCGGTTATCATTGAAACTTCATTCCACAAATTTATTTTTCAAATTCCGATTTAATTTTTTGTTACAAAATAAATATTATGTGTTTATTACACAAGAGATTATACAATAATAGTGTAAATTGTTGCAACTAATACAATTTTGTATTCATTATATCAATTGCAACTGTTAATCGGGCATAGCCTTACATATAACTTATTATAAAAGTAACTATATAACCTATTTATAGTTAATTAATTGGACAAGCGACGTTACGCTTGGAAATCGTGGCATTTGTTTATGCTGTTAACAACTGGCTTTTTGCAGGAGTTCTTTACTTTTTAAAAACTAATTTTGAAACAAATTGAATAATTCTGAGGTTAAATTCTGTGATGCCAATAAACAAAAAATATACTATTTATTAATTCAAAGTTGTGAAGATAAATTAAAAAATAATTTACAACTATATTTCACAACTATATAACAATACTATATTCTATGTTGTTGTTTTTTTTCGTTTTTTAGAAGAAATACAGTTATCTGGCAACTCTTACATTACTACATGTAACAACAGCTCATGAAGGTCAATATTTCTGCTACGCTGAAAACAACTACGGCAAAGATACAGTTTTTGTAAATGTTGATGTTTTACCAAAGCTATACACTAATGCATCTGGTAAGTTGTGCAATAAACTCACGAACACATTGAAACTTTCTTTAAATGGAGCAAAGTGTGTAAAGTTAATACAAATAATAATAAGTGTCTATATTTTGTAGCTTGTTGCCAAGAAAAGAAAGTTAGTGACGAATGCCAAGAAGCTTGTAATATCGACATCGACATACAAACAGCTCTCAACAAGCCAAACTGCTTCAAAGATCTCGATAAACTAATGTATTGCGCAGCAGGTGAGTTACAACGTTTCAAAAGAATATATTTTAAATATTAAGTTCACAAAACTTTTTCATTGCGTTTAGAATCAAAAGAAGAAATCTTTTCATTGCGTTTAACTTTTTCATTGCGTTTAGAATCAAATTGCGTTATAAATCAGAATCTGAAAATATTATGAAGTGACACACAATTTAGAAAGTGACCACTGTTAAGAAAAGCTACAACTGGTTACTGGCCAATAATAAAATTTCCTAATTTTGCCTTATAAAGGGTGTTGCTAAAGTTATGCAGAACTTGAGCTAACAGCATAGATAACGTTTACAACTGACAGCAGTTATAAAAACAACCTATTGTTATTTAAACAACGCTATTTCATGTTACGAAAGAGCTTTCGAAAAGTGGCCTTAAAAGATTTTTTTTAAAGTACTTTTTCGATGTTGTAGTTGTAGTTCATTTACGTCGCACTAGAGCTGCACAATGGGCTATTGGCGACGGTCTGGGAAACATCCCTGTGGATGATCCGAAGACATGCCATCACCATGTTGATCTTCTGCAGAGGGGATGGCACCCCCGCTTCGGTAGCCCGATGACCTGCATACGAAGTCGAGCACTTTACGATAGAGCAGTTTAACGAGAACCAATACCGCACACCCTCGGTCCCTACGCAGACTGATCCAAGTGGTCACCCACCCGCACACTGACCGCAGCCAGTGANTATTTATTCTAATAGTAAACTTTAAGTAATTAATAAACAGTTTATTATTTCTTTTTATTTTTAGTCATGCCACAAGTTGAGTCTTTGGATAAAAGAATTCCCGCCGAGGAGGGCAGTCAAGCAACAATTCGGTGTTTGGTTACCGGTCATCCTGTACCTCGTGTATTATGGTACAGAGACAGAAAATTAAGAGAACCTTTGACAAAAAATTCTGATTATGATTTAAATATGAAACCCTACAGAGAGGTATGAATTTTATTTTTAATTTTTTAATTTTTTTTGTTGCTTATCTGTCAAAGTTTTACTGTTTGAATGAAATAAGTATTTCTGACAATTTTCTTTATATGTTAACATGCGTAATGATTCATATTATGAAGCTGATGCTCGAAGTTTACAGTGACACTAGTTAAACCTCAAGGAAATGTGTTGGGCAATTCTATGTCAAACGCAGGGTAATCAGAAATCATATATATTGTGACAAAGATTACAGTATATTTCCGAATATAAGCCCAGCCGTGTATAAGCCATCAAGGTGGCTTTGGGGGATATTGTCCTACTCCTCCCTCAGCACAATTATCAGCTCTTACGCAGTTCAGGGAGGGATTGTTCTTTATGAAACAAGTCTGCCAAGGGCAACCCTGGTGAGCTTTATAGTATTCAGATCCGGGGAGTATGCAGGCCATTTTATACAGGCAATACCTTCACTTTCTTGTGTGTCTGATACTTCGGCACTTTGTGTGTTGTGCAGATAAGTTAAAAGTGCATTTACAATTATATTTCATTAACTATAACAATACTATATTTCATGTTGTTTTTTACATTTTTCGTTTAGAAAAAATACAGTTACCTAGCGACTCTTACATTACTACATGTAACAACAGCTCATGAAGGTCAATATTTCTGTTACGCTGAAAACAACTACGGCAAAGATACAGTGTTTGTGAATGTTGATGTTTTACCAAAGCTATACACTAATGCATCTGGTAAGTTGTGCAATAAACTCACGAACACATTGAGACGAAGTGTATGAGTGTATATAAATGAAGCGAAGTGTATAAGTTTAACATAAATAATAACAAGTGTCTATGTTTTGTAGCTTGTTGCCAAGAGAAGAAAGTAAGTGACGAATGCCAAGAAGCTTGTAATATCGATATCGACATACAAACAGCTCTCAATAAACCAAATTGCTTCAAAGATCTCGATAAACTGATGTATTGCGCAGCAGGTGAGTTACAATATTTCAAAGAATATATTTTAAATATTAAGTTTACAAAACTAAGCAAACTTTTTCATTGCGTTTAGAATCAAAAGAAAAAAAATGTGTGTTGTAAATCTGAATCGAAAAATTTTATAAAGTGACACATAATTTAAAAAGTGATCACTGTTAAGAAAAGCTACAACTAGTTACTGGCCAGTAATAAAATTTCCTAATTTTGCCCTATGGAGGGTGTTGCTAAAGTTATGCAGAACTTCAGTTAACAGCATAGATAACGTTTGCAACTGACAGCAGTTACAAAAACAAGCTATTGTTATCTAAACAACGCTATTTCATGTTACGAAAGAGCATTCGAAAAGCCGCCTTAAAAGAATTTTTTAAAAGTACTTTTTCGATGTTGTAGTTCATTTACGTTACACTAGAGCTGCACAATGGGCTATTGGCGACGGTCTGGGAAACATCCATGAGGATGATCCGAAGACATGCCATCACAATTTTGATCCTCTGCAGAGGGGAGGGCACTCCCGCTTCGGTAGCCCGATGACCTGCACGCAAAGTCAAGCACTTTACGATAGAACAGTTAAACGAGAACCAATAACGCACACCCTCGGTCCCTACGCAGACTGATCCAAGTGGTCACCCACCCGCACACTGACCGTAGCCAGTGATGCTTGACCTCGGTGATCTGCTGGGAACCGTGTCTTAGCGATCAGTCCACTGCGGGACAATACTTTTTCGAGAAAAAAATACCCTGTTTTGTCTAGTATATTTAGAGAATGACAGCATTCATCGATAGCAATTAAGCATTTAGCTTTGTTAGTATGATGTATTTTCACTCGTAGAGCTTCCACATCGCATCACACGCGCTTTGTTGATACATTTTATTTTCCAGCATGGAGACAGGCGACCTCAGACTGTAGATCATTGCTAATATTTCCGTTATTGCAATTTTTATGTTATTAAATATTATTTTGTCTTTTGTTATAATTGGGTAATTGTACTTCAAGCAGTAGATCACTGATACCCCCACATGTGACCTATGGCGTCAGCTGATAGTTTATAAGCAAAATGGCGTGTTAAAGTTGAGATAAGTTTCGCCACACAAGTTTAGAATGTTAATTAACGTGAAGTTAATTATATGCAGGGCCGTATCAAACATCGAATTTGTTGAAATAGAATTCCTTCTCATCTGCGTTTTTACTTAATTTAGACTTATTATTTGTTTATGTATTTTATTATAACCGTAGTATATTTTTGTTTTGTGCACCTTGCAACTTCGATGCTTACTTAGTCTTCGTGTCTGTCCACATGCCTTCGTGTCTGTCTTTGTGTTAAGTAAGGATTATACTACTTGTATAATGAAAGAGATGAAATGTTTGTGAAAGAATATAGAATGTGTCATTTACGGGAATTGTTACTTGACGGGTTTGGTTTATTCGAAATAGAATAGAAAGAACAGTTAAAGTAAGCAAATGCCACATTTCAACAGCCAATCAGGATAGATATACCCTGACTGCATCACTTGCAGGTATCCCATTGAATACCTGAAAGTGACGTCATCGTTGGTAAATCGTAGCATTTGTCGATTCAGAAGCATAAAAGGTTAAACACACATGAGTGACGTTCTTTACAGGTATACAATCAAATATGTTTTGAATCAAATGGTCATCACGGACATAATCATTTCACTTCGATCTTCTCGAGTTGCAGGAACCCAATTAGGAACCCCTTTACTGTTTGGATCCAAACAAGACGAAATTTTTTCTTAAATATCGCACCAACTGTGAAATCAATGATGAAGCATTTCAGAAACCATTGAATAAACGTTATTAAAACGACATTAATGGATAAATGACGTGCATCTGCACCTCAGTCCTGAGTACGTAAGGAAATTTCATGTCTAATGGCTAACGCAACAATGTACTACATGCTCATGCAATGGAATTGTTCTCCCTCAACAACTACCGCAAATGTTTTCGCAAATTTTAAAATCAAGTTGACGTTGATATAATTCGATTTAATTTGATTTTAAAATAACATTTCTAAATAACATTGCTAAAAGCTAGAGGCCTTTAATTTTTGGAAGGTAAAAACAAAATGTCTTTTATAGACATTAAACTTATCTCCATGTTGCACAAATTCTATGGAGGTACTATTATTCTTTATAGACGGAAGTGATCACAGGAAGTGTTGCAGAGATAATGGGATTCAAAGAAGTTGTCTCAGGTGGTGTCAGGGAAGACCCATCATCAACACTCAACTCTGCATACTACACGCTTCCAAAATAGTTAGCTGCTTCGAAGAAGGAAAAGGTAAGGACAAGGTTTTTTCAATTATGGTATCTCTAAATAGTTCAATGCATGGTATTTTTAATACAACAATCTTGAGCTCTTGACCTGCTCTACTTCCGGTTAGAAAGTACACAGTTGCTTACCACAACTTATTCTGTGAGGCAATATTTTCGAACGGATAACTTTGTTTTTAATAAAAGAACCAAATTATATAATTTATGAGCTCATATCTGCTGTATGTCATAAGATATTAATGGTATTAAGTAATTCTGGCGAGTTAGAAGTGAAAATTGGTTTAAGTTATTTAGATATGAATAAAAGGTGACATGGTTGCTAGATTTTGAATGAAGTCGCTTTTTTGGCAGTTCTGATTTGGCCTCTTTTTACTTGTTTATGACTGTTTATTCTTGGTGCAAGCTGAGCACCATCTGACGTTAGTGTTAGCATATTGTTCGAGCAGCGAGATTTAGTTCATTTCACAAATTATCGTTTAGGCTTAAATTTCAAAGTTGGTATATTGTTCGGGGAGATTTCCGTATCGTGATCTGTGGTTCCAAGTCTTGGAAACTTCCGGGCAGTGGCCCGCGAGAAACTAAAAAAAACATCTCAGAAAGGGACCAACTCGAAAGGTATACCTCGTAGCCACCCCTGGGCAGACATCAAAATTTTTTTTTTAAAATTTGCTATTTGGCACCTTGGCGATTGTAGTTGGCGCTACAGATCACGATACGGACATATCCCCTATTGTTCACAAGGTAAGAAGTGTTTTATAACGATTCTTTTTTTGTCAAATGACAATTCTTCAAATGACTAATAACGATGCTTCCAATAAGCACTAAAAAATCAGGTAACAAATACATGTTTATACTTCTCAAAATAGTCTGAGAACACAATGCTCACGCTGTGAGCCAAATGGCTTCAAAGCACTCTGAAAACCGTAACCGAAAAGTATAGGAAGTCAAGAGCTTGCAGCGCTCCCTAGCGTAGAAAACACCATCCATAGAAATAACTTTAGATTCTATTAGATATCCTGGATCAGTGGTTTCAAATCTTTTTTTCGGTAATTGAATCCTTAATGATCGACGACCAAACAGTTAAATTTACAGGTTTGGAGCTGCATATAGACTTCTAATTTGATTTCAGTGTATCTAAGAACTGTAGACGTAGTTTGTCTGAGTTGAGAACTCCTCCCGCTACAAAGTCTGATTCCGTCTGGTGCTATGGAAACAAGAATGGTGCATTTTAGGGAGGGTGGCTTCACTCTAGGACTATTCCCTTTCTCTCTCTGACCCGAGCCGAAGCCACTCCAAAACAGTGACCCCGCACCCCTACTTGAAATAGCCATACCTCGTTGCCATAGTCACCGCCGGCCGCAGATCCAAACGAATGTCTGGGGGAGTTTTTATTTTAGACAAACTATACATGAGCTGAAGGGTGGTTTTTATTGAAATAAAAGCGAAAGACAACAGATATAGACGTAGAGAATTTATATTAGAGAAACATGTTTTTTTCATTGTCAAATTTAGTTATTTTTATTCTATGCTAGCTACTAATGCAATTTTTCATAAATGCATCCTTTTGATTATTCATTCAATATATTGTTATAAAATTTTTTAAAATTAAATAATTTCATGAAAATAACGAAAATATAAAATAAATAATGATAATTAATTGAATGTAAATTTAATTGCAGGTTTCAAAAATCATGGTAAAAAAAATCCTAACTCTCGATACCCTTGTGACAAACCTTATGGTTCCATGGAACATAATTTGGAAACCGTTGTCCTAAATATCAATATTATATATTGGATATCACTGCGGGACAAATTTTTTGTTGCATTTATACAAATACTTGATCTTGCCTAATTCGGGAGTGGGTGTGAAATCCGAAATTAGTCTTGCTCCTAAATATACAGTTTCTTTAAAATTACAGTTTTAGTCTATTTTTTACTGTAATGTATAAGTTTAAAAACGTTACATATAACAAGGGGCTGAGTAAATGTTTCTGCAAACTTCTAAGGAAGTTGGGGCACATAATCAGAATTAAAACTGCATAGAAACCCATGTTCGTAAATGTCATCGAACACAGCTCAGTCCTATTCCCAAACATGACCTTATCAGAAGCACATGACGAAACAGTTCATAATGGGGAATGATAATATTTATGGACATGGATAATATTATGGAATGATAATTTTATGGACATATATACCATTTTAATCCCTAAGACATTTCCTAACTCCCCTAGAAATTTATCGCAATATTTATGACGACCCTCTGATATATAACGTTTTTAAACCTGGAACATTTCGACAAAAAATGGACTAAAAACGTCATTAAAAAAACTGCAGTTTGGTTAGAGAAACCGATTGCAGATTTGATATCAATACTATTATATCTAAAATCTGTTATCTAAGATCTACGATCTGTTAAATCTCATGCAACAGTAAACAAAAAATATTTCTGATGAGTAGTATACTAGATGTTTCTGAGAAATATTGAAAAAAATCCCACCATCCAAAAATCTGTTGAAATCACTCAGTTGGAACTCAACGATTTCTGATATACATTTATTGGACAATATAATATCTGTTGGATTGGGGAATAACCAACTTTTTATTATGCTTACGAGATTTCTTGAAAATTGTTTTGGGGAACTTCTTAAATCTCTGCAATATTTATGAAAGATTTTAGATGTTATCTAAATATCAATCTTATTTTATAGCTGTCAAAAATAATAATTAATTATATTATCTTCGATGAATCACATGCAGTTAATTAAACAAATAACGAAATTGAAAGTTTAAAAAAAATATGAATTCGAAAGCTAAATTTAAATTTTTACAAAGTCAAAACTAAGCTTGGAAATTTGGAGACTATCGTTTTACCTATCTAGGTAATTATTTTATAATTTACGGAAGCTCCTTATCAAAAATAGAGATAAAAAAAACCAGGTCTACTAATTTTAATTTAATCTTGCCAACAATTTTTAGATGTTATTAATGTTTCTCGCTTTCCCCAATTAAATATTGATTTGCGTTGCTAACGTGTATCTTTTAAAATGGTTTCAATTTCGACAATGTTTCTGAAAATACATAGGAAGTGCGGTGACTAGCTAACACCTTGTGCATTGAAATTTATGATTGTGATATTGTATTTCAGCGGTATTGCCTGGCCCACCTCTGAATATCCAGTATCACCTAACTGGACACAAAGATTTGGAGATAACGTGGGATATGCCTCAGAAAAATCCTAAAGTAGTGCAGTGGTACAAGGTATTCTGGAGGCCCATTGGTTCTCGATTAATGTACAGAGTAAGTCTTAATAATTTGCGTTATTGTAATATTCATTAGTTGTTATCAAATAATGCTAACGATCCCCTCTCTTTATACTAATGATAGTTCCTCATTCATGATAATGAGTCACGTATTTTCAGTATGAACACGTACTGGCTTTATTTATTTATAGATCCCTGTTGATGACGTATAACTCAGATTTTTTTATCGAGTCATGTATAGAACCCAGATTCAGCATCGTTATTCTGTGGATAACCTGTCTAGTTTTATCGCCAATAGGAATTCGTGCTCCCTATCACTCTTTGCAGAATCGTTATACATTCCACTAGTAGCATTTATTTATACATTAATTAGTATAACTCAGATTCAGCATCATTATTCTGTGAATAATCCACTATTCTTATTCGCTCATTGGAATTCGCGTTCCCTATCACTCTTTGCAGAGACATTATTTATTCCACCAGTAGCATTTCTTTTTAGATCCATACGTCCGATCCTCGGATTCCGTGAATAACTAACCCATCTAGTTTCATCGTTTATTGGAATTCGTTTACCCTATCACTCTTTGCAGAGAAATTAGTCATTCCACTAGTTGCATTTCTTTATAGATCCATGCTCTCATTAGATAGACCTCATTACCATGTATAACTCTGATTCCACATCATCATTCTGTGAATAACCCATCTAGCCTTATTCGCTCATTGGAATTCGCGTTCCCTATCACGCTTTGCAGAGACATTATTTATTCCACTTGTAGTATTTCTTTTTAGATCCATGCGTTCGATCCTCTGATTCCATATCATCATTCTGGGATTAACCCATCTAGTCTTTCTCGCTCATTAGAATTCGCGTTCCCTATCACTCTTTGCAGATACATTATTTAATCCACTAGTAGCATTTCTTTTTAGATCCATACGTCCGATCCTCTGATTCCGTGAATAACTAATCCATCTAGTCTCATCGTTTATTGGAATTCGTGCACCCTATCACTCTTTGCAGAGAAATTATTCATTCCACTAGTTGCATTTCTTTATAGATCCATGCGTATAACTCTGATTCCACATCATCATTCTGTGAATAACCCATCTAGCCTTATTGGCTCATTGGAATTCGCGTTCCCTCTCATTCTTTGCAGAAAAATTATTCATTCCACTGGTAGCATTTCTCTTTAGATCCATGCGTATAGCTCCGATTCCACATAATTATTCTGTGAATAACACAGGCAGAGGTACAGACAGGAGGTCCTAGAGCCTTATGTGCGTCTTTTCAGGGGCGCTGTTGGCCCTGACTTCATTTTTATGGACGACAATGCGTGACCACATAGGGCTGTCATGGTTGATGAGTATCTGGAAAGCGAGGATATTCAACGAATGGATTGGCCACCCAAATCCCCTGACCTGATTCCTATTGAACATGCTTGGGATGCTCTTGGGAGGGCTATTGCGATGCGCCAACCACTCCCCAGAACCATTCTGGAGTTAAAAATTGCTCTGGTGGAAGAATGGGAGGGTTTTCCACAAGTCCTCCTTAACTCCCTTATTAACAGAATGCATACCGGTTGTGCATGCTGTCTGTCTGTCAGGGGTGACCATAAACCATACTAGAGGCAACACACACTGTACAAGCCTCACTTTATTGTCATTTTTTATCCTTAAGTTCAGACTACATTTGATTTATTGGCAATAGGTCTTGCCAGTGAATGGCACTTTCATTTTTGTTTTGCATACTTTATTATCATGGAATAAGCTATATCCATACCAAATTTCATTTATTCATATTCAGTATTTTTTGAGATATTTGGGAAAATGTCTTCCATCTCTTAATTTTGTCCACCAGTGTATATAAAAATCTCAAATTTGAAATTTTTATCACTTACGTTGATTTTTCTATTCTACGGCTGAGTAGCTCGCTTGTAAGTCTGTGTTATTAGTTAGTTTTATAAGTGTTTTTAACAAAAAAAAATTTTGTTCACTAATTATTTTTTTCGTGAGATTTTTGCGTGTTATAATGCTCAGTTATCACCAAAACTATTGACCGTGACTATTTTGGCACTGGATACGATACGAGTTCTAGTCTGGTACCCAACTAAAAGAAAAGTAAGAAATAAAATCTGTTTATAGTTCTCCGTCGAAAATTGTTTTTTTGTTATTAGGATACAAGCAGTCAAAAATTAGAATACACTGGAAACTGCATCGCACGTCTAAATCCTTAATTAGATTTATCAACAAAATGATGTAATTTTGGCTTCAAAATATTTCTTCCATTTAATTTAACAGTTGAATTATCAAAATCATAACCTTATTCGAAAAAGTTAAAATATTTAAGTATATCACGTAATCAAATTTGAAACATTTTTAGTTTTTTTCTGTTTAATTTAATAGTAAAAAACGGTTATTTATCAATAAAAATAATCAATATTCTTTTCTTACACCCAATATAAATTGAATAGAAACTTTTATAGATTAAGACTTATTAAATCCATGGTCTTGTCTTAAATTATTACTATTCAACAAGATATGTCTTATTTTGTTGTTAAAGATATTTTCATTTTCTTACTATAGAATCACACTAAAGATCGAGCCATAGCCCTTCATGATTTAGAACCAGGTACAACTTATGAGGTTGTGGTGAAAGCTGGAAATCATTATGGTATCAGTCTTCATTCAGAGCCTTTGACTTTTACCATCACAGGTATAATTATAATTGTATTTTTTTATAACTTTGAACTAACCGATATGTTTCTCAAAACACCCAACCACATAAAATGTTAAGCTACATCTGCATTTAATCCTCCTTACCTTTGAATTATATTAATTTGAATATTCGTGTTATGATCATATTCTTAATACGACTTGTACAAATAATTGTCCAAGCCATGTAAAGAATTAATTGCTTGGGAAATACATCGTAATTGCTGCTTGGAAAATCCATTAGTAAAGCGAAAATATGATTATTTCTCTTACAAGTGAATCGAAATTGCGTTAGCGGACAGGTATGAGTCACTTTCTTTGGTACGTTTTATGTTTTAAGCATTTGTTTAGATGTTTCATGAAATATTTGCTCTTAACAAAAGATGGTACAAAATAATGTGAAAATCAAAAAGTTCGCATTGTTTTGTCCGCCTCCGAAGAAACAGTAAATTTTCTTCAATATCTTGAATTAAATAAATTTTAATTCTAAGGTATTCATAGTTTTTAATTCAAATAATATTTTTTATTAAATATAAACTATGTTAGATCAAAAAAATATATCACCATATAATTTAATTTTTATAATAAAAACTAATAATAAGTTATATGAATAATTATGCATCTTTTTTGGCCGTAATAGCCTGGTTGGAAAAGAGCTGGATTCAAGTTCGTGAGAACGGGAGTTCGAATCCAGCCGGCAGAAGACTCTCTGTGTAGTAAATGGTGCACGTTAAATCTGTCGGGTCTTAAAGTCTGCCATGTTTCCACAGCAAATTATACTTCTGGGAGCACTGAATTGGAGATTTTATTTTATTTTATAACCGTCGTTGAACAGCCGACCCAATTTCATGGGTTTACGACTACTTACGTTCAACTCCGTAGCCTTGTAATTTTGAACCAATCCAGAAGACAAGGAAACTCCTGGATCAGTACCCCCAAAGGTATTGATTTGTTGTGGGAACATGGAGGACTTTGAGACTCGACAGATTTAACGTCCATCAGTCACCATTTACTACACGGGGAGTCTTCGGCCGGCGAGGATCGAACCCACGACCTCTTGGACATGGGCCCAGCGCCCTACCGACCAGGCTATCCCGGCCTTGAATTGGAGATTGATCGATCTCTGGTTCAGGGCAAAATTACGATCTGTGGATGAATTAATGGATCCGCCCTATAAACGGATGTGACGTATGGGTGTGGCAGAAGTCGAATTCTCGGCCATAGATGGGGTCTCTGGAAAACTAGGACAATCGCACCCCATGCCGTATTGGCTTACGACAACAACATGTTTTTTTTAAAATGTTTTTACACATTTTAAAAATTCAGAGAGTAAAATGAAAATCTCAGTTTAATTAAGTAAATTCTTATTTAAATGCATGTAACCGAGGTTCTCGTAACGAAAAACTAAAGGTTTTATTGTGAGAATTTAGATAAAAGGATTCTTTCTTTCAGATGTTTCAATGTATTTTTATTTAATTCACAGTCAAGTAACTCAGGGCTAAAGAGAGAATAGAGCCCTGAAGTAATTGTTCTTTTGGCTTGGTTGGTTGAGTCATGGCTTACAACTTCTTCGGTCGGAGTTCGATTCCTCCAACTAAAAAGTGGGTGTCTCAACGACTTGCACTTTCGCCTAACGTATTTTTTTTCCTTCTCCACCCTAATATGATGTGAGCGGTAGTTTCAGTGCCAGGAAAATAAGTTAAGAGTTTTATTTTTGAAATATTACTGATGGTCCTGTAAATATTTTCCTGCTTTTTAGCAGAACCTTCTAGTTTCGAAGTCTCATTTAAAATTATCTGTAATTTCTCATGAGAGTCTTAATAGATTCTCACGTAAAAAATTTTTTTACAGTGTAATGGCGTTAAAATATTGGTGTGATAATATAAGTGAAACCATTTTCGTCAATTTCTTCTAGGTATCGATGGCGATGGAAATATCATTACAGAACCAGCTGGTTGTAAGTTTGTTTTTCTGTTACTCTTCTTTTAACCAGTTAAGCGCGTTTGATTCGCGTACACATCAGATCAAATCTCTGTTTATTCTTGGGTAAGACGAGCATTCTCGTCAGGTAAAATGAAACATTATCACTATCAAAACTCAAAATTTCAATAAAACACAATAAAAATGTTGTTATATTTCCTTTCAACATATTACCAATAGAATTATTGCGTGGTGGAGAATTAAAAAAAAAAAAAAAATAAGAGATTAGATGTTGTCAGATATAAATCTTAACATGTACTATATTGAAATTTCTAATAAGCATGGATGATTCGAGAGTAATAAAAGCTGTCTTCAATTTGAACTGTTATAATGTTAACGAGGAAAATTACTTTCTATTGATATCTCGTTGAGTCGCACAAATTGTATTTCTTCTGTTATTTTTTCTCCAGCTACAGTTGATTATTTTTCCATTTCGATACAATTAACAAAATGTACTTGCATAAAATTACAATTGTATATTTTATTAACATATTATTCTTTGTTTATACCGAAAGTATCAACTTCAATGAAAAAAAAAAAACGATGTAATAAAACATTGAACTAGGGGTGGGCGAGCAGGTAGCACTTAAAATTAATATAACAGTTTGGTAATATTTTATATTATTATTATTCTCAATTGCAGTCGGGAACAGTTTTTCTGTTTGAAATTTTCTCCAAAATTACAGCATTTTTACTTTCTTTGAATAGTTGTAATTTTTTCTAAAAAAAATAATTTTAGAAAGTAAATTTGAAAATAGTTATAATTTCTTTGCTAGCAATTTTTTATTTCACGTAGAAAAAAAATTCTTTGATCTCACACAATTCTTGAATAAGCTAGCAAATGCGTTTTAAGCAAATAGAAATCAAAGTATACTTGAATAGTAAAAACTTGATTTAAGGTATTCAAACTTGTAAATAAACAAATCGAAAGGCTAAGTTATTTTATATTTTTAACATAGAATGTAGCATTTTTATTTTCAATTGGACCAAACATTACCCCAAGGTTGTCTGAATTATCTTCTGCTCATATTTTGCACTCCAGGCAGTCTGTTAATTATAGTAAAATTTACATTAATTTGAAAAAATAATTTTTATTTTACCAATTCTATTATAAATAAGCTTACAATTTCTTTTGCAGATACCTCACCCTCTGTAGCGAAGACGACAGCTGCAATCATTGGCACAATATTGTTCTTGCTTTTGGTTGGTGGATTAGGTTTCTTCTTTTACCAGAGGAATAAATTAATGAAGCCACCTCCTGGAATATCACCCGGAGTGTCATTCGAAAATCCTACTTACATGAAAGACAACATTCCACAGGTAATTTATGCCTACTGAGCCTCAAAACATTTTTTTAACGTCTTTTTCTTATTTTTAAATTCTCTCATTTAAGATTTAAACTTTCATCCTTATTCTCTTTTAAAAAACAAATTATTTTAGCAGGGTTCGTAGCGTTTTTAAAAAGTGCTAATTTTCGATTTTTAAAAGCCCTTAAAGGTGCTATTTTCATTAGGTGTTTTCAAAAAGTGCTTAAGTTTCCTTTTTAAAATGAGATTTTTCCTTTACTGTGTTGATTTTCACTAGGAATTATGCAAAAAGACACAGCTCACATTGTTCTCTTCAACGTTTTCACAATTAATTCAACCTCAATCTATTTCGGTTTATTGTCAGCCCATAGCATATGAATACGACATTCGTTTTACATGATTCAAAATTTCATGATTTTTGACAATTGTCAAAAACAATGCCAAAAGGTTTCTCTTTCACATGACGTTAAAAAAAAAAAAAAACGTCAATTGTCAAAAACTTTCCAACCCTGCCTAATTATTATATTTTTTTAAAGTGCTTAAAAATAATTTCTGAGTGCTCATTTTTTGTTGAATAATTTGGCTACTCAGTCAATCAGTTTTAATATTTCTTTTACATAATAAATTGTGTTTTAAATATGTATTATGCTGTAAGCATATTTTTGAGCACCTTCCCAGAGTTAGTTACTCGTTCTAACAAAAAATGGAATTATAATAAAATTTAAAAAAATATAACAGTTCTCTGTTTAATCATAAATTCTATGATACTTTGTTTTTTCAATTACTTCATGTTTCAATTTTATAATAATTACGTATTCAACAGAATAACACTCCAGGATCAATTGAAACCAATGGTGAAACAAAACGAGATAATGGAGAAACAAAGAGAGAAACACAGACATAAAGAGCTTAAAACATTAAGTAATGTAAAGTGATACAAAAAATGTTGAGACATTTATTCCCATGTGAAATATGTAAATGTTGATTAGAATGTAAATATATTAGTCTATAATTAAAATATGCTGTAATAAACAACTAAAAATGATTTTTCTGAAAATATTTTTACACTATAAGATCTCGGTGATATTTGTGATGCTTTTAATTTTTTTACAATACTTTTATTATGTGGAATCATTTAAATAAATGTGTGTATATATATGTATGTTAATGAAATCTTTTTTTGTACTAAATATTTTAAGATATTTAGAAAAAATTCTGATATATGACTCTTACTCTCTTAAAAATACAGTAATATGTTAATTATTTTCTTATTTTTTAACTGAAGTTTTTGATCTTATTATTTGTTGTGAAGTTTGACGAATATGAAAGGTGTTACAAAAAATGGCATAGCAAAAATTCTTTGTAAATATATATATTAGTGTCTTAAAATTACTTTGTCAAAAAAATAACTAATTTATATATGGATAAAACAAAATCGAGAGGAAAGCTTATTCCTAAGTTTTTTAATACATCAATGTTTTATATTTTTTGTAAGCTGTTTTGCACTGATCTTGAATCTAAGAATATATTTAAAAATGCATTATTCTAGGGCTAGTAACACTGTTAAACATAAATCTAATATTTAACAGTCAAATTACACCCCTTGAAATAAGTTTTACATCAAATTGAAAGCTTAGAGTTACTGTGAGTTCATGAATTGCTTTTAACAATAAATAAATGTACTAGTAACAACTTGAGCACTTTCATCAGAAAAGAATGGAATTTATTAGAGGTTAATGTTTTGTTATGCACCACAGTGCAAGTTTTTTAAAATGCAGTTCAATGAAAAAATTTATGTTTAGACTAAAAATGATTGTTACAGAAAAACCTACGAAAATTGAATTATAATATTTTTTTTAATTAAATTTATGTAACAAAAATGAAAAATGGCATTTATTAAATAAAGTTTATAATGTTTTGTTTTACATTGCAGTGCAACTATTTTTAAAATTAAAATTGTAACTTAAAAATGTATGTATAGACGTAATGTAACTGAAATGCAGACAAAAATTAAACAAGTATCTTATTTTTTTTAAATTGATGGAACAAATAAATAGCAAAAATCATCAACTCTTCTATATTTATAAAATGTGAACAACTATCTAGAATAAGTTTTAAAAGAATTTCAAACTATCAATTTGAAAAATATTTTTTTCAAGCATTTATTCAAAATATTTAAAGCATTGCATATAAGTGATTTGATATTTTAACTGAAAAAAATTTTTTTAAAACAATTCTGAAATTTTATAATACTAATCTGTACTTTCACCCAGGGGTGCAGAATATGTTCGCTTGCACAAAGGAGGTTTAGTAAACATTTAGTCAGATTAAGGAAAATTTTAGGTCTCAATTTTTAAGGAAGATAGTCATTTATAGAAATATAAGCATTTATTTTAAACACTTTAAGAATGTTCCTTTGTTTTCTTTATTAACCGAAACAAATTATAGTGCAGCTTTAAGGAGAACTCCTCCAGACTTTTAGTCTGGAGGAAAATTTACTTTTATAAATTATTACTATTTCAATTACTTAAACACAAGTGAAAGCTTATTCAAGAATTGAGCAAAATCAAATTTTTTTTCTTCCTTTGTTAAAGAAAAAATCATAAAAAACTTAACTAACTTTACTTTCTCTAAAAATATTTTGAATAAATTATTATAACTGAGAAAAAAAGTGGTTGAATTTGGGGGAAATTTCAAACCGAAAAAACTGTGTTCGGGGGAAATATTAAATTCTGAGAATTTTCTGCACCCCTGCTTTCATCTAACTAAAATAATCACTAAAACCTTAATGAAACAGATCATACACATCTAGTCATTAAGTATGATTAATTATCACGTGCCTTCAATACATAAATAAATGTATATTTTCACTCAATCTATAATCTCTTCGTATTTTATTATTGCAAGCAAACTGTACTATGTGCATGTCAATTGATTTTAAATGTAAAGAATTGAAATAAAAATGTAATGTTGAATGTAAATAAATATACTACAATATACAACAGCTGAAATTGTCTTTATTATATTTATTTCATTGTTACTTTGTCATGTTAAACTCTAGTAAATCTTTAAACTCAGTATAGGATATGATTTAGATTGCTCTAAAATGTGTATTTTCTATCATCATAAATTTTAACAATCAACTCTAACTAATGCAAAGTAAGAAATATTAGTTTAAACACAACCATTAGTTCTGAAGTTAACAGTACTCTAATCATCAATGTACTATACAAAATTTCAAAGAATATCTACTTCAGGACGGAGATTCTGTAACTTCATAGAAAAAAATAAATACACTATTATTCTACTTCAGAAGCTGATAACATTCTACAATTTTAAGTGACAAGGGACTGAAAAATCAAACATGTTATTTTTAAAGAGCAACTTAAATACATATTTTCATAAAGCTACTTAAGATGACTTAGAATTAAGAAAAAGCACATATTCTAATTGTAAAAACTATACAGCAAATGATTAGGTTTTTTAAAAGACAACTGGTAGTTAAAATTAAAAGGAAATACAATACAGTAGAACCTTGAACCCCCTATTCCCATGTTTTTTGTTTTCTTGTACGTATTGTCTTGTTTTAACTGTCCCACCACAAGTGTTATTCTTATAATGTTGATAATATTAGTTTAAATCATTTCCAAATTTCTGTGTCTAACGTTCAGAACTCTTACCAACATTTGAAAAAAAATTCAAGCTCGTTTTATCTTGAAAAACAACAATTCTAAAAGCTAATGATAAAAAAGATGAGAATTATAGTTTAGAGAAATAGCTGAATAAGCTTGTGGTGTTGTCAGTTAAAAAAATGGTTAAGTAACTGAAAAATTGTGGATGAAGGGAGAAAAACCACAACCAATGCCAACATTTACAGGAAACATCTAAGTCTTTGAAACAAAGAGAAACTTCTGTATTCATGTGAACTTACAGAAAATGGACAGCACTCTGTTACAAATGTCAAAACATTAAAGAGAGGATAGTGTTCAAACCAAAATTTTTAAATAATTTGAATAAATAAATGTGTTTAATCATGAATATTATATTATTTAAATCATGAATACTTATGATGTAAGTAAATAATTTTATATAAATTTATTTATTTCAAGTCCATTACTTTTCAAGTAATTGTTTGATAATTCAAGGTTGATCCACATTCATCGTTTTCCAGTATTTATCGATCACAATGAATGGTCCAATAAAAAGGATTGATTGAGGTTCTACTGTACTCTACTTGAGAATCAATCTTCCTGAGAACCTGATTTGAAATATGTATAGAGGTGAATAATCTGCAGCTCAGGGGTTAAATGCAACTCTTTAATGTCATCTACTTTCAAATCAAAAAGTAATTGGAGAAATTTTATAACTGTTTCTCTAACATATTTCAATTTAGTTAAGGTTTCAATTTTAATGTTTGCTTTTTAAAGTCTGATGTATTAAAGACATTACAAGATTTAAATCTTATATTTTTTTTACCTAGAGAAAAAAAATTAGCTTTATAGACAAAGCTGAAAAACCACCGTTAATTTTACTAAACTTTAAGAGTGTAAAATTTCAATTAATCATTATACATATAACGTGCCTTTTAATTCTTAAGCAAATTGACATTATTTTTATTACACTAAGGAATAATTATTTTAATGTTGCTTAACTTAACTAGGCTTACAGGAATTTATGTTCCTTAAACTCTTCTAAAGCACAGAGGATAAAAAGATTAATTAAATTATAATTCAATTATAAATATTGAATTAATTGCACCCCTCAAAAGTAATTTTCCCCCTTACCATAAAAGGCTTTGCAGTAATAACAGATTACAGATGGACAAAATGAAAAATAAACCAAATCAATACATTTGGATCAAAATCAATGGGTTTCATTTGAATGAACGGATTCAAATTAAAACCACTGATAAAATTTATCTGCATATTTTGTAAAATCAATTTGTACCACAGTCTCAAATCAAATGTTTAAAGAACAAACTCAATTTAACTGATTTAGAATTCAACTCTATCGAATGTAGAATAATAAAATATAATTCTCTGAAGCCAATAATGTAACCAACTTTAAAACAACAATAAGAAAATTGTCACAAAAAAGTAGAATAAAATGTCATTTCTTAAGAGAATAAATTAGATCCTTCAATGTCCCACGTGACGTGGACACAAGACTTGATGGCACAATTTCAGATATAGATCTAGGGTCATTGTTCAGGTATTTCTTACAAAGACCATCTGTGTTGCAGATAACATGCATACCGCAATCGTAAGAATTCATCTGTTGGGCACAAACCATTTCTTGCAGATTAGGTGAGTGTCCTGCAGTCGAAGAATTCCGAAGAAAAGGAAAGAGGACTTCAGCTAAATGTTCTGCTACACTCAAATTAGAGCTACAAGAATATGAATCATAATGTTGGAATAAATTCTCACTGGACTTATATACAAGAAGGCTCCAGTGAGTACCACCTGGAATCGTTTGCGCTCGACAATCGTTTACGGGAAAGAAAACAAGCTGCTTTTTATTCAGTTCCAGGCCATCAATTGTTGATTTAACTTCTTCAGCAGGTGCAAACTTCAAGTATTGGACGACTTGGGGACAAACAAAACCGAAAACATCCTTGTGATCTTTATATATATCATACTCTAGATATTCAAACCAGAAAGCAATGATATTATCATTCAGCCAGTTAGTGGCATTTAAAAGTTCTACATCTGATTGCCTAAGCAAACTGTTCTCATAACTGAGTATGACAGGATCACAGGATGACATACTTTTACCTATGGTGATAGAAAAGCTCAAAGGCCCAACTTAGTTTCTAAATCAGGATACATCCAAGCATCTTCTTTTAGTTTCTCAGCCAAATGTCTTAATTGTTCTAATCTTTGGTGGTGCAACTCTAAAATTAAAGATTATACTATCATCATTTAGTAATCCTTTAATATAACATTCCAAAATTACAAGAAATAAATCATGTATTATAAAAATGAAAAAGATTATGAAATAAAGGATAGCAATTACTGCACCAACTTACCGTAGTTATGAGATTTAAAATTTATATCTATACAATTCAACAGTGTATATATAAAAAAAAACTTAATAAATTTTGAAGACAGTATTTTAAGTTGTAAAATTAGATACAAAAATGAACATTTTCTGAATTAACACTTTTTTTTTCAAGGTTTAGTTTCTTGACATTAAAATGAATATGGTTAAAGGAGTCACAATCTGAAAATTGGGTTCCATAATATTTATTTCATTTTTTTTTTTGCTTTTCCATATCAATGCAACTATTTAAAGAATCAAAACAGTTTTTCACACAATTTCTTTTTAAAACAGGGATCATGATTTTTTAAAAAATATTCTTTAGGAAATTTTGTGTATAATTAGTAAAATTTTACAAGTATAACTGAAACTTAAATATTAGGGTGACCTGAGGTAATTCCTGATCAAAAAACGCAAACATCTGTTTTGTGAAAAAACTATTCAAAATAGAATTTTAATATTTACTGGAAGTTTGAGGCTATATGAGATGAGTCCTATTACAACTTCTTTTGTTTGAAAATCTAATTGGAATTTAAAAGATTTTAAATTTTTAGTGATCAGGAATTACCCCTGGTCTTGATCATTTCTGGGGTAATTCCTGCACTTCTGGGGTAATTACTGATCACCAGTTTTTATTGTAAAGGGGCTGTTTGAAAATAATTATATAATGGTAATTAACAAATAAGACATCAAGATCAAAAAATAAACCCAAAAGATATGTTTAAGCAGCTAATAAAACAATTTATTTAAAAGCAAGAAAAACAATTAACGCTTTAAATTTTCAAAAATTTTTGCATTGTGCCATACATTTTAGGCAACAGCCAACTCATTCTCATGTTCTTCTGAAATATAAGAGAGTTCCCACATGGGTTACTCTTGCTGGATTTTTTAACTTCATTAAGGGAAAGTGTAAAGTTAAGTAAGGTACGCCAACAGCTCTGGCAGCAGCTCTCACACTGAAATTTTCATTTTCAATCATTAAAAGAAATTCACTAATTTTGTTTTCTAGAAGCTTAGTACCCTTTTTAGGCTTATAATTTCTCACCATATTTATACTAGGCTAATTTATAAACTTAAAAATTATTCTAACGATGTACACACATAAAATTAAGATAGAAGCAAGGTAAGACAAACCAGAAATGGTGCAAATCAGAATAGTCTTGTATACAGTTAAAAACAAATTTTGTTCAAAACAAAAATTCCACTTAATAAATATGAACTGTTATTTAAGAAAAGACAATTAGCTATTTATAAGCTATTTTATATACTATCTATAAGAAGAAATTACAATGATCAGGAATTACCCCAGTGATCAATAATTACCCCATCTGTAGGGGGAAACATTTGATATAGTTTCCTATAATCAATTATAATGTTTACAGTTGATGTGAAACAATTAAACAAAAGTTTACACTACTTTTATATCAAAGAAAAAGAAAGTAACTCAAAGTATTTATTATTAAGAGAATGAGGGGGATCTTTGCAGAAATATGCACATTTTGAAACCCATCTTTGAAATGGAAAATACAGAAAGTAGTTTAAAAGATACTTATTTTGTTAGATTAAACAAAAAATTATTATTAAGCAAATGTAGTTATACTTTAGTAAAGTGTACAAGCATTCTTGTCCATGTCTCAAATTTTAAAAAAAATAATTTTTTTTAAAATAAAACTTAGGTGATCATTATTTACCCCAGAAACAGAGTGATCGTGAATTACCCCGGGTCATCCCATTGAAAATAAATCACAACAATGCATTTCAAATGATATCACAGTATTAAAATTTATTGTAGCTCATTAGTAGTAGAACCTTCATTATTAACTACTAAAAAAGATAAAGAAAAAAAAACTAAAAACTAGATTTAAGGTAGATTTAAAAAAAATATGAAAGGACAGAATAAATTGCTTTGCTTTATACCTTCACTGCAAGTACAAATATCACTAAATAGAATAATTTAACTATTTACTAAAAAAAAAAGTAAGCTAAAATAAATTTAAGATTTAATCAGCTTCTGTTTACACCATATTACATTATTATTAAAGTATGCAATATTAAAAGGAAATTAAAGTATATTTTTAAATTTAAAATATTGTGTAGATTTCAAGATTGCGTTCTTAAAATCGGGATTGATATGTTTTCGTTATTTTTATTTTATTTTTTTTGTGAGAAAAAAGTCTAGAATGTTAAATATATAAACTTTTACAGATACATAAACACAAGAAAAAAAGAAAAGAAAAAAAAAGAGAAACTAAATGAAATTTTCACTTATTCTTAGTTTGCATTCTTAAAAAATCACCACACAAATTTTGATGATTTTTAAATGTTGATTGAGAATCTTTTGAATGGTAAGATATATATATTTGTATTTTAAGTACATTTAAAATGACAAAAAGTCATATACTATAACTTTTATTTTGAAAGAACTACACAACTGACTGCTCATATTTTGGATTTTGTCAATTAACTGTTTAAATGATGTAAATATTTGCATATTTGAAAATTCAAAATTGTTTTGATCCTTATTCAATTAAGTAACTATAATTTTTTTTTTAATGGCGGGCACTTGAGCCTGTTTCTTGTTGGCATTAGAAATGGCAAAATTGCCATTTTCTTATCATTACCCAGTAGGCACCTGTGGCTAAGTCATGACGGTGGAACAGCGTTGCCTATGTCATACAACCACAAACCCGTCTATAGGGCAGGTTACATTCACACAATCATAGGACATAGAACACAGAGAGAGAAAGGTATATCTATGTCTACAGTGGGATTCGAACCCACAACCACTGGCCCCGTAGTCTAGTACAGTAACCACTAGACCAATGATCAAGGAACTAACTAAAAGTAATGAATGAGAATTTTTCAAATAGAACAAACGAGTAGAGTTTATAGTGTTTTAGATTCCCTAAAACAATTACAGAGGCAAAATATATAAAAAGTGAAACATTCAGCAATTCTTACTTTTGCTTAACTTACATGAATTAACTATGGGACCTTATTTTTCAGATTGAAACGACGCGTTATATTTTGAGAGTCAAGAATTCAAATTTTAAAAAAAAGTACATTTTTGTGTCTGCTTTTTGTTACTTAAAATATTGTCTGAACTGGCAAAATAACAAAGTTTAGGTTAGTTTCTCAAAGTATTAAGATTGGATCTTAATACCTGACAACATTATCACAAGATCAAAATTTATTAAGTTGTTTAATTTTTTGTACTTGTGTCTTCGCACACTAAGCGTACGCTAACATTGTTCTAAATTTATAAGTTAAAATCAAATACATATGCTAATAAATACTTGCACTAATGCATATGAGATTCAGCACTCATTTTAGATGACATTTTTCAATGATGATAAATTCAATTTTTCCTTTTTTAATACAATTTTAATATGTTCAATAAAATAGGTTACACGAGTTGTACAAATGATCTTTTTATTACATTTATTGTTTTTTAATTAATCAAAGAATAAACATAGATTTCTTTCTAAATCAGATATCAAAAATGATAAACATTCACAAAATTCTATATAAACCAGATAAAAATTGAAGAAGTCATGATGCTTGCAAGTATGATAAACACAATTTTTAGGTAACAAAGAGGCTCACCGCAGCTCGCCAACCCTCAAAACTACTTTCACAGTTTTTTTTTTCTTTTTTGGATTGCTTGAAAATTAAGAGATCTAGCAAATTCAATACTCATGTATTTTAATCTAGGTTTGTATGTATGAGGTGATCCCCCTCCTTAAAAAAATGGATTTCTAAATGCAAACAACATATACATTCTGTTAAACTTATGATTTAAAAACATTACATTCAATTTAGATACATTACAACAGGGGTCGACAAACTTTTTTGATTATCGACCCCTATATAATTTTTCGAAATCTCCATCGACCCCCGCAAAAGTAATTTTCTGTTAATTAAAATAAAACTCTATTAGATACTGTGTTTGTACATNAGATTCAGCACTCATTTTAGATGACATTTTTCAATGATGATAAATTCAATTTTTCCTTTTTTAATACAATTTTAATATGTTCAATAAAATAGGTTTCACGAGTTGTACAAATGAGCTTTTTATTACATTTATTGTTTTTTAATTAATCAAAGAATAAACTTAGATTTCTTTCTAAATCAGATATCAAAAATGATAAACATTCACAAAATTCTATATAAACCAGATAAAAATTGAAGAAGTCATGATGTTTGCAAGTATGATAAACAAAATTTTTAGGTAACAAAGAGGCTCACGGCTGCTCGCCAACCCACAAAACTATTTTCCCAGTTTTTCTTTTCTTTCTTGGATTGCTTGAAAATTAAGAGATCTAGCAAATTCAATACTAATGTATTTTAATCTAGGTTCGTATATATGAGGTGATTTCCTCCCCCTTAAAAAACAGATTTCTAAATGCAAACAATATATACATTCTGCTACACTTTTGATTTAAAAACATTACATTCAATTTAGATACATTACAATCTAACTTATGAACATTACAAAGCTAGTTGACCAACAGGAGAGAGAGAACAAGCTTGGGCAAGATAAACAAAAAAATTTTTAATAAAGGAGACTAAAAAAAACAAGTAACCAGTTCTACTAGGAACAGTGACAATAAACGAATCTTTTGTTTCCCTACATATACCACCAAACACCCATTGTTTAGGTAATACTCCACCACATTTATTTTTACGCTTAGTAAACAAACTTTCTTCCATTTCCACAATGCAGTCTGGTCCATCTACTTTCTTGTTTGGTTTATTCTCCATATCCAAGATACATAATTCCCCATGTAAATGCTCCAATTTGTAACAGTTTTATCCGATAAATCAAGTTGCTTTTCAAAAAATTTAATCAACGTCAACTCCTTGCACCAGCAGTATATGAATCCCAAAGCTGAACAAAATGGAATTCTGCTTCCCTCAAACCAGTTGTCTTTTTTTAAGTCTCACTTGCTGATCACACTGTTTTATATGCCGACCGGCCTGTGTAACGGGCAGGGAACTGTCCTTGCATCAGAAAGGTCTTGGGTTCGAATCCCGGGCAAGGCATGGATGTCCTTTTTCCTTTGTGTGTGAATGTGATCTGCCCTATAAACGGGTTGTGGTTGCGTGAATGGTGTGGAAGAAGTCAAATTTCTGGCCATAGATGGCGCCACTGAAAAACAGGAACAATCACACCCCCACTGCCTAAACANAAAAAAAAATCAAACTGTGTTATATTACATTTCCAAAACGTACGTTTACCAAAATAAAGTTTCATGTCATGGGAATTGGTAAATTTTTGTTTTTTTGGTAAAATATTTCGCTCCTAAAAAAATAAAATTGCATCTTGTTCTGCCCTTAGCAAATCCCAAAGATGGATTTTCGTAACACTAAAAAATGGCATAAAAAATCAGCAAACAACGGGGTTGCTGTGTGCGAACAACAGGATTGCTCTTTATTGGCACATAAGCACAGAAGATTGCTCTTTATTGGCGTTAGTACGCAAGTACTCAGCACAGTAAAAGCGCAAGTGCAGGCAAGGACCCTGGCATGTTATATCGCAAGAATCGTCTTATATCAATAGCTTTAACCAAATTTCCGATGCATTGTCTGAAATGAAAGTCACTATATCGGCCTGCCAATAAATGCATTAAATCGATATTTTGAGATACATTGATTTATCACCCAGACCTAGCGATGAATATAACTACGATTTAATTTTCATAATAATTCAACTCACCTTTGTCAAATGATTTCAAACTTACTCCCAGATCATGTTCAAATTGCACTTTGGCTTTGCTGCTCATTATTTCATTTTTATCATAATCTATAAATTAAAAATCCATATGAATTAAGATGAATAAAAAATTAGATTACCTGATTAAAAACTTCATTTGCTTCAAAAATATATAAATGGGAAATAATAGTTGATATGCTTCAAATGTTTAAAAATAGGTGCTGGTTTTCTAGACTTGCCAGACACGAATAGGAATATAAATTGGGCACAAGCACTTGAAACGTAACAACTGTTATTTGCTATTTATATGTTTTTGAAGTGAATGAAAATTTTAATCAGATATTATCTNGTCAGGGGTGATTGTGAGTCCAACTCAAAAATCCGGAAAATTTCTTGAGTAAAATAATTAAAGACGCATAATGTCTTTATAAATTTAAATCATTGATATTTTTAAAACATTGAATTCTAAATAAATTATATACAGCATAATTTAAATGAATGATTATGTATAAGTTTATTTTTATCTCTCCTCACATTTATTATTCTACCAGAAAAAATATTTATAAATGAAAGATGCCAAGTATAAATTCTAATTCTTCTTCTTGGGCACTACAGCCTATGACAGGCCAAGACCGTTCCAATAAGTTTTTGCCATCTTGATCTATTCTGTGCCATTGCCTAGTTCTAATATTTTTAAAAAAATTATTCAAGAATTTTTATACATAAATGCGATCGATGATTTCTTAAAACTTCTGGACCTAAGATTTCCGGAGCACAATCACCTCTGCATTGTTTGGGTAATACTCAACCACATTTAATTTTACGGTTAGTAAACAAACTTTCTTCCATTTCCACAATGCAATCAGGTCCACCTACTTTCTTGTTTGGTTTATTCTCCATACCCAAGATACATAATTCCCCATGTAAGTGCTCCAATTTATAACAGTTTTATCCGATAAATCAAGTTGCTTTTCAAAAAATTTAAACAACGTCAACTCCTTGCACCAGCAGTATATGAATCCCAAAGCTGAACAAAATGGAATTCTGCTTCCCTCGAACCAGTTGTCTTTTTTTAAGTCCCACTTGCTGATCACACTGTCTTATATGCTGACCGGCCTGTGTAAAGGGCAGGGAACTGTCCTTGCATCAGAAAGGTCTTGGGTTCGAATCCCGGGCAAGGCATGGATGTTTCTTTCTCTCTCTGTGTGTTCTATGTCCTTTTTCCTTTGTGTGTGAAAGTGATCTGCCCTATAAACGGGTTGTGGTTGCGTGAATGGCGTGGAAGAAGTCAAATTCCTGGCCATAGATGGCGCCACTGAAAAACAGGAACAATCACACCACCACTGCTTAAACAGGCATAGGACAAAAAAAAACTGTCTTACATTACATTTCCAAAACGTACGCTTACCAAAATAAAGTTTCATGTCATGGGAATTGGTAAATTTTCGTTTTTTTTGGTAAAATATTTCGCTACTAAAAAAATAAAATTGCATCTTGTTCCGTTCTTAGCAAATCCTAAAGACGGATTTTCATAACACTAAAATATGGCGTCAAAAATCAGCAAACAACAGGATTGCTCTTTATTGGCACATAAGCACAACTTCTGCTGCGGTGGTGTTAGTACGCAAGTACCCAGCACAGTAACAGCGCAAGTGTAGACAAGGACCCTGGCATGTTATATCGCAAGAATCGTCTTATATCGATAGCTTTAACCAAATTTGCGATGCATTGCCTTAAATGAAAGTCACTATATCGGCCTGCCGATAAATGCATTAAATCGATATTTTGAGATACATTGATTTATCACCCAGTCCTAGCGATGAATATAACTAACTACAATTTAATTTTTATAATAATTCAACTCACCTTTGTCAAATGATTTCAAACTTACTCCCAGATCATGTTCAAATTGCACTTTGGCTTTGCTGCTCATTATTTCATTTTTATCATAATCTATAAATTAAAAATCCATATGAATTAAGATGAATAAAAAATTAGATTACCTGATTAAAAACTTCATTTGCTTCAAAAATATATAAATGGGAAATAATAGTTGATATGCTTCAAATGTTTAAAAATAGGTGCTGGTTTTCTAGACTTGCCAGACACGAATAGGAATATAAATTGGGCACAAGCACTTGAAACGTAACAACTGTTATTTGCTATTTATATGTTTTTGAAGTGAATGAAAATTTTAATCAGATATTATCTTACTGCTTCAGTTTCTTGGTATTATTTATTGAATAAGATTATATTATCAAAAACAGAAATCCTAAAATAAGTTTCCCAAAAATTGTACATACAGTGGAACTCTGGTTTTACGTTGTACGTTTCCACATGATTTTTTGCTGATCCAGAAAAAATTGCATATTCCCATGTTAAATTATCTCAGATTATGAATTGTATGCAACCCTTTTTAATAAAATCTCGCTTAAAAGGATTTTCAACAGATCAAAATCATTCCTCTACAAAGCTCACACAAGCTTTTTTTGAATTTTCTTTTTCCGTTAAAAAAAATAGACTTTTCTATTTACTACTAATAGCTCTTCTGACATTCTTTATATTCTATCTAGTTTAGTTTTTGTCTGTGGAAGGGGTACACCTCCTCGAGTCAAATTCAGAAGGGTGGTGAGACAGACAAAGCACGGAAACGCACACTGCACTTGATTTTTTTTCTTTCTATCTAACCACATTTTTATTGGCATACATATATATTAAGAGATATTTAGAACTGAATGTACAGAGCCACGCATGCTAATAAAGAATGAATATTTATTTATACAGAAAGATTAAATTTTAATTTCCTATTGAATGGTATTTTGGAACTGCAAATATGGCAATAAACTAATTGTTAAAGAAAGTCCACAACTTTCAAGAAATTTTTAATCTAATTTTAATGAAACTTAGAAATTTAATTTCAATTAAGTAAGAAGACAGAATCATTATTTTTCCATATAATGTATCAAATTTAAGTAAAAATCAATACTTTCAATACATCAGGATATTTATACCTAAAAATATATACCTTTTATAACTACCGTATACCTTAATATACCTTTTACAAATACCTTTTTAAAATAACATATATTTCGAAATTACTTTCTCGCTGATCTAACAACGCTGGCGTAAGAAAACTTAAAAATGCAATTTTTCATCATAGCTTGTAACTTAAAAATTGCCGGACACACTTTATCAAAAAATTAATTTTAATTAAATTTTATAAAATCTCGTCACAGGAATAAAAAGAAAAAACACATAAAAATGTAGAAGTCTCTCTTGATTACCAACTAAGTTACCTGATGATGCTTCAGCTGTTTGTGAATGCTTGGATGTAACTCTTTGTGTTTTGAACAATGCTTTACGAGGTAAAGAAGGAGCAGAATCCATTAATATAAAGTTTAAGCTTTTTAATATATACGTTATATGGAATTATTTAATAAAAAAATATATGTAATTTATTGACTGTACCCTGCTCTGGTTTTCAAGAACATTGAAGATACGGTTGCAAGTTAAATTATTTCAATGTTTATTAATTTATTTAACAATAATCACTTTGCGAAAAACCAAAAAAACTTCATAATATACTTAAAATAAGAATGCAATGTCACAAATTACAATAGCTATTAATTTTATAGCGATAAAGAAGAAAAATATCAAAATGAAGAAGATATACGATGACGATAACGATTTGAAAAAGGTTTTGCTTTTGTACTGTATTTTACGATTGATTTCGTCACGTGAAGTTTATGTGAACATTTACATTTATATGATACGGCATCAGTTACTTTTGAACTTTTGAGTTTTCTTCGTTCAGAAAATGCATAAAAAAATGTTGGTCTTTACGAACAACATTTTAGTGCCGGAGAAGTTTTCTACTTTTTAAAAACACCCAACTTCATCGAAAACCGCGACACAAACATTCATTTAGCAGACGATAGTTGACTGTAGAGGTGTGAATGGTGGGAAATTTATGAAATTGCCAAATATTTTTGTTTGTCACAGTGTTATTATTATACAAAGTTAAGTTTTTAAACCTACCAGTGAAATATTGGTTTAATTGTTTTAAATAAATTGCAATTATGATTCCTCGGTAGGGATGGTAGTTAGAAATTGGTAAGTTTCGGTGTTGCATATTATTTTATTCTTTTATGTTAAGTATTTTGATTAGCATATAGATCATGTACTCTACTGCGATATTATTTTGTTGAAATTTTTCTGGTTATTTTATTTATTTTTTAATATGAAGGATGTGTAACTAATGTGTGGCATTGAAAGTTGCATTTTGCTATNAAATTTTTTTTTAAACAAACTACGTATAAAAAATGTATAAACTAAACTCTATAAGGGCTTGCAGACACAATATAAAATAATAGATAGCAGGTCAGAGAACATATAAAACAAGAGTGTTAAATTGTTCTTTACAAGGTGTATAGTGACTATTGACATGGTGACATCAGGAACGATGTTGCTAATCAATTAACACATTTTAAGTAATTCATTTTAAATAACACATTTTAAAAATTAATTAAACAATACAAAATTTACTTACATGGATTGGCGACTGTTATCTGTAAATTTTTTTTAATGAATTCTTCCACCATGTGTATTTCAATTCCAGCGGAGCCTTATCAAATTTTTTAAATTTCTTTGAAGCATTTTGTAAAGTTTTCGCTTCTCTCTTCCAGAAGATCGTCCTTTTTTCTTTTTCAAATTCATGAATGGCTATTTGTTATTCTTCATATGAAGAAAATCAAGATGCTACCAAAATTGTAGCTGCCTTGACTACGATAAACAGAGCTAAATTATTTTTGAAAAAAAAATCGGAGGTCACGTGGACAGATACGCTCCATGATTGGTTAAAAATTTGATCGGTAAGATAGCAAAATGAATTTTACTGCGCCGATAATCGGTGCAATAGACACTCCGTTTCAGGCGCATTGAAGATACGGTTGCAAGTTAAATTAGTTTAATGTTTATTAATTTATTTAACAATAATCACTTTGCGAAAAACCAAAAAAAAAACTCCATAATATGAATCAAGAATGCAATGTCATAAATAACAATAGCTATTAATTTTATAGCGATAAAGAAGAAAAATATCAAAATGAGGGAGATATACGATGACGATTACGATTTAAAATAGGTTTTGCTTTTGTACTGTATTTTACGATTGATTTCGTCACGTGAAATTTATGTAATCATTTAAATTTAGGTGATGCGGCATCAGAAACTTTTGAACTTTTGAGTTTTCTTTGTTGAGAAAATACATAGAAAAATGTTGGTGTTTACGAACAACTTTTTAGTGCAGAAACTTTCTACTTTTTAGAAACACCCAACTTCATCGAAAACCGCGACACAAACATTCATTTAGCAGACGATAGTTGACTGTAGAGGTGTGAATGGTGGGAAATTTATGAAATTGCCAAATATTTTTGTTTGTCACAGTGTTATTATTATACAAAGTTAAGTTTTTAAACCTACCAGTGAAATATCGGTTTAATTGTTTTAAATAAATTGCAATTATGATTCCTCGGTAGGGATGGTAGTTAGAAATTGGTAAGTTTCGGTGTTGCATATTATTTTATTCTTTTATATTATGTATTTTGTTGAACATATAGATCATCTACTCATATTTTGATGAAATTTTTCTGGTTATTTTATTTATTTTTTAATATGAAGGAAGTGTGACTAATGTGTGGCATTAAAAGTTGCATTTTACTCAAAATAACCACTTTTTAAATCAATGCTTCAACCACTTTTTAAATCAATGCTAATTTGTCTTTATTAATATGTTTTTAAATTTTAGTTTGTATCAGGGTTTGATTAGAATTGCTAAGATTCTTTATGTTCTTACGAGAGTTATTTGTCTCGTTTGATAAATTTTTAATTATATATTTTTTTACTAAATCTGAAACCAGAAAATTTTTTGATAATTTTATAATTTGAATTAAAAATTTGATGACTTATCCTCAATTATACGAATCTTTTGTTTCATAGAGTTTTCTGCAAAATTCTATGAGGTAGACTTTTGTATGTTCCTCAAAGCTAATTATGATGCTTGTGAACTGTGAATACTTAGTAAACTTAATATATTATCCTGCAATAATTTTTATTTTCACCAAAAATGGTATGTAATTTTGTGTTTTTTTGTGATAGGTATTTGATACATGATAAAAACGTTTTCAGGTGATACTGAGTGTTTTTTTATTTATTAATTATTGCAGTTGCTCTGAAGTTATTTTATTTCTTTTTAGGGAAATTTACCTTTTCAGTATTTTTATATTGAAAATCAAAAACTCTATTAACTCTGTTCTTAGTTTGAAAATTTTGAGGGGATTCAGCTATGTGTCATCAAAAATTAAACATTGCACATGCATTCCCTGACCCATAATAAATAGTAATTGTAATAGCCAATAGCCATAAATTGTATCAGGGTTGTGCAAAAATGTAATAGATTACATTTCTCAATTAGAGTAATTACTTGTTATAATGATTACTACTTGTCATAATTTTGATTACAGATGTAATCAAAATTCAATTACTTGTAATATTTATAACAATTCACCATGGTTTTCATTACAACTAAACAATTTTGCATAATTCCAAGTAATCATAACTTGTAACCACAACTATAAAAGATCACAAGTAATTTTGATTACAAATAGCCAAAATATATAATTACATGTAATTATAATTACAATTGTGACTACGTATAATCAAAAATGATTACATACTATATGTAAACATAAAATGTGTGTTCATATGTTCATGGATATTTTTATATATTTTGAATGTATGCAAGTAAATACAGTATTTGTATGCATGTATACATATATAATATCTATGTGAATGTATGTATATACATTGTATGCTTGCAAAAATGTTATTTTGTATATGAATGCATTGTGTTGTGTACAAGTATGCACAGATGTTATCTGTATGCATGTATGATGTATAGGCATATCAGGGTTCGCAAAAACTCAGTTTTTTTTAAGAAAAAACCTAGTCTGTGTGGTTTTATCTGTTTTTTTCATAAAAAGATCCAATTTCGCTTAAAGGTAAATGAGTCTTTTCATGTATATTCTATACACAAGTTTATATATACTAAGTATAAACACAAGATATATTACATGATGAGAAATATTGATTGATTATTATCAAAACGGGGAATAACAGGAATGGTTATGAGAATATTTATTTCAGTCATTTATTTATTTTTTTTGCCTTCTAAATGTATTATAAAATGTATAATGACGAAGTTACTAAAATGTAAAGCGTGAGCAGTTATGTGATTAGAAATTAATTATAAATAAACTCATAATTTACTTTAAAGTTAATGAATGAAAACATTTATGAAATGAAATGTACTTTTTGTTGAACTTGGTATGTTCATTTGTATTTTTCAATGTATGATTCTTTGTTTTACAACGTACAAATAATTATCGACTGTCTTTTGTTTATACATTTTGTTTTTGAAATGGAAAAAGAAGATGATAAAGAAAATTTAAGTCTTTTTTTTCTTAGCCTTCCGAGCAGGGTTGGGTTTTTGACGTCAAAAAGTGGTTTTTGACATGACAAGGGTATAATACTGGTTTAAACCATCAAAAACCCGTCAAAAACTGAAGTTTGCCAAGAAAATATGTAAACTTCAAAACTACCAACAGTTTCCATGCATTATATTGAAATTTAATTATACTATAGGTAATCAGCAGGTTTTAAAATAACGCTATTTATGGTCGAAGAAGAAATAACAGATTTAAAATCTCA